CCATGACACTTGCAACCTTACCTTGTGGCACCAAACTCACTGTAAGTGACTTCAAGCTCACTACACAATGGGCCGATCCTCGACGACTTTTTGTCAGATTGGAAAACTTGGGGCTTGCATTGTCCTTTGTTGTTTTACATGTTCCGTGTCTGGGCAAAAACAAAGGGGACGGCACTCGTCCCATTGATGATTTGGAAGCATGGTGGAAGGAAACCTCCCACCTCATACGCTCATATGCCAATACAGAGCTTTTTTGGATACTTGCTGATGCAAATGCACCGATTAACCAGGATTATTCTCCTTTCACCGGTGAAGCGGGAGCGGAACAGCTCAATCCACAAGGGAGACTTTTTGGCAATTTCATGACGGAACATGAGCTCTTTGTCCCATCGACATTTGCACACTTTCATGTTGGGCATCACCACACATGGACCCACTCCAATGGTGCCAAATACCGACGTGACTACGTGTTAGTCCCACAAAGAGTTTTTGACATTGTAGTTGATTCGCAGGTTATTGCCGATTTTGACACCACTTTCTGCCATGATGATCACTTGCCGCTTTGCCTTAGGGTTCATGGCATTCTCAAACACAGAGTATCGGCTGGCAAACCCTTTATGTGGGATGAACAAGCCTTTTTGTGTCCTGACCGCACCTCTGCATTTCGACAGGCCCTTGCCACTTTGCCAATTCCAGTATGGTCCACTTCAGTTGAAGCGCATACTGCCTGGTTTGAAAAGCAGATCTATCAACTTGGATGTCAATTTTTTGGATGTGCCTCGCGTTCCAAAAGAAGGCCTCAGCTACGAGCCTCTACGCTGGAAGCCATCGCAATGAAACGTCACATGCTTGATCGTGCCCGGAACTGGAACATGGCGCAGTCACCTGAGTTCAAAGAGCTACTCAAGCCAATTGAAAAACAGGTCCGAAAAGCAGTGAGAGAAGATCTAGGTGTCTATTATGATCAACTGTTGGTGCATCTGCAGAAACTCTGACAGCCTGGGGGACTTGCGCACAGTGTTTCGCACCCTCTTGCGCCTAGGAGGCCGAAACCGCAAGAGCACGGGATCCTTGCGCCCTCTCCCCATGCTGCGCAAGGAGGATGGCACCCTCACCAAAACCTTTCAAGAAAGACAATGGATCTGGATGGAACAGTTCGCAAAAATTGAGGCTGGACAAACCATTGACCTTAATGAGTTGGCTTCGTTGGACAAGCACCTCTCCCGGCATGCTTTAGATATCCAAGACCCAGGATCGTTCCCCTCCCTCTGGGACATCCATCAAGGTATCCGCAAGCTGAAAAGAGGTCGGGCGCCAGGGCCAAATGGTCTCCCTCCAGCCCTTTTGAAAGCTGGGGGCGAGGTTTTTGCCAGACAATTTCTTGCACTGGCGACCAAGTGTGCTGCCCACTCGCATGAGCCCCTTTCATGGAAGGGAGGAAGACTCTTCCCACTCCACAAAGGGAAGCTGCATCCCTCAGAACCCGAGGGATACAGATCTATTTTTGTCTCCGATTTCACTGCGAAGCTCTATCGCATGACACTGCGAAGCCCTCTCGAACAGGCATGGACCCAGTCCATTCATTCACTGCAACTGGGCGGACGCAAGGGACAAGGCACAGATATGGCACATCATGTGCTCCAGACGTTTTGGCACTGGACTCACAAAAAGCAGTGTCCCGCCGCCATTGTTTTCTTTGATGTGCGGGCCGCCTTTTACAGTGTGATCCGGGAAGCACTCTTCCCTGGCGATGGCGACCTGGCAAAACTGCAAACTGTGCTCACAGCGTTGGGCATTCAGGACCACATTGCCGAGACCATTGCCGAAAGCGTGGATCATGATTTTGCCTTGCAGGGAGTAACCCAGCACATGCTAGCCATTTTGAAGGATGTGATGGTCAATACGCATTTTTTTCATTGATGGAATCCCACAGCCATGCCGTACCCGACGAGGCACACGCCCTGGAGACCCCATTGGGGACATTTTGTTCAACATGGTCATGTCTTGCTTGTTGCGAGATGCCAAGGGACAACTCCAAGCTCACCCTGACCTGAAGTGGTATGGTGGACAGCAGCTATGTGAAGATTTCACCACGGCCAACGACCTCCCATCCTCAGGATGCTTTGATATCTCATTTGTTGACGACTGTGCATTCGGAATCCATGGAAAATCCAACCAGCAGGTTGAAGCAGGGATCCAGGCAGTAGTCGAAGCCATGACAGTTGCCTCCAAGCGCAGGGGTCTGATCATCAATTTTGAACAAGGTAAGACTGAAGTTCTCTGGCACATTGTTGGCAAAGGCTCCAAAAGCAAAAAGATGTCAATTGCAGCAGATGAGTCCCAGCTGAAATGGCATACAGACCAAGGTCACTTCGCCCTTCGAGTGTCGCATGCGTATAAACACCTGGGCACATGGATCCAAGCTGGCAATGTACATGGTAAAGAAATTCAACAACGCAGTGCCCTAGCCCGCTCAACATGGGGAACACTGGCCCGAGCCTTCTACAACAAGCCCTATGTCTCCCTGCAGACCAAATCCAAAGTTTTCCAGTCCACTGCCCTCAGCCAATTCATGTACAATGCACATGTCTGGACTGGCGTTGCACCCAAGGAATGGGACAAATGGCACAACGCTCTGCGCAAACCTTATGGCCTCATGGTAAAGAGCAAGCTAAGAGGGGTGAACCCTTTGCACTTGGATACAGACGCTGTTTCAGCATTGGCGGGAATCTTACCACCCAAGCACGCGCTCCAAGTGGCACGCCTTCGATACCTCAAACGGATTACAGTCGCCTGCCCCCAGGTGCTCTGGGACCTGATCATGGCAGACGCTTACACTGACCTCTCCTGGATCTCCGCATGCCAAGAGGCTTTCAGATGGTTCCGCATGCACTACGACGTCGCCTTTGCCCCAGTCTCAGATGACATTCAGGTGTGGCTACCCATCATCGCCCTCGACACGTCATGGAAGGGACGTGTCCGTAGAGCTGCATTCTCATGCCTGCAATACTGCACGGCCATTGCCGAAAAACAGGTTTCCCTTGACAGATTTTGCCGAGTCTTCCAATCTAATGGAGGGGTCTTGCCAGTTGACTCACAACAGGTGCAAAGCAAATGGCAATGCGACCTATGCCAACGTTGCTTCCCCTCCAAAAGAGGACTAGCATCCCATGCGGCCAGAGCACATGGATACAAACGAATCGAACGATACTACGCACTCCACGCCACATGTGATGCGTGCGGCAAGTATTACCATGCCAGAGCACGGCTCCTCATGCACCTGTATGACTGCCCAGCCTGCCTCCTCACACTGCAGCACTGTTTTCCCCCGGCGCCGGAAGATGAGGTGGAACGCCTGGACAATGAGGGCAAGCAATATGCAGGGGATATGAGGACACAAGGATGGTGGAAGACCAAAGCTTTCCTGCCGCCGTTCAAGATCCACGGGCCGCTGCTACCGCCCCCCAATACCCCAGATGCCTTAGCCTTCAAGCTCAAATGGGAGGCTAGAACGCAAGCCCCTGGAGCCGCATTCCAAGAACTGCAAGGCAGATGTGCTCCTGCCGAACCACCGGAGAAGCCGCAAGTTCATCTTTTTGAAGAGGACATGCCAGCCTTTGTTATGCATGCGCCACATGGCCCAAATGTAGGTGACGGGGTCTTTGCCAATGCTGGCCTTGCACGTGAAGCCGCTCGGCTACACATCAAATGGCTGGTCTTCGTGCATTACTTCAGTGGTTACCGGCGATCTCAAGACCTCCACCAAGTCATCGAAGACACACCACTGGAAGGCGGCACGCATATCATGACCATATCAGTCGATATGTGTATGCAGAAAAAGGATGGAAATTTAGCCACCAGCAACGCGACTAGCTGGTGGCTCGAGCGCATCCGGGCGGGGCAAATCATTGGCGCAGGTGGTGGCCCACCTTGTGAAACATTCACTGCCGCCCGATTCCTACCCGACGGACCACGACCACTTCGCACTGGCAGCCATCCTGACGGCCTCCCAGCGTTGAACGCCAGGGAGTGGATGCAGGTCCGAATTGGGTCGCGGCTGGTCTATTTCATTTTTGAAATTTTGCTGGAATTGGCCCGTTTTGGGGGGTGCGGTTTTGCAGAACATCCGCAATGGCCATTGTGGGCGGTGCGCCATGACCCAGCCAGCATTTGGTCTTCCAGATTTGCCAGGCTATGCAAGACCCTCAACTGCTTCAGTGTGACCAGTTTTGACCAGTGTGTGGTGGGATCGCCCGCTAAGAAACCCACTACAATTTTACTCCTGCGACTTGACAGTTTTCGGCACGAGCTCCTCACCACAGGCAATGGAGGACGATGTCACCATCACAAGGGTGCCCACGAACAACTGCAAGGGCGAGATGCCACAGGAGTGTTCCGCACAGCTGTAGGCAAGGTATACCCTGCAGGCCTGAACCAAGCTCTGGGTCGAGCAGTGCGCCGCTTTGTGGAGAACACATTTGACCACAAGCTTTTGCGCCAGGAACTCCCCATTGAGCTCACCTGCTTCAAACAGCAAGTTTTTGAGGACGATGGAGTAGTCCAGCCCGACTATCATGGCCTTGTGACTTGAACCTCGTCCTGTACAGGCAGTTTGTAGCAATGCAAGAGACCAAGTGCCAAAGGGCACAGCAGACGCAAAGTGAAAGTGTCATCCCTCCCATTGACTAATAAAATTCAAGATGGTTAAAATCAGCAACCGGTTATAAGTTATAAGTACTTAAGTCGCCGCATTTATAGATTGTATAATCCCATTTATAACCAGTTATAACTAATAGCCATGGCCATAACTGTAGGGGTGACATATTTAAAATACGATAGAGACTAAAGATTTAAGTCCTAGTTTTAAGTTTGATCAGCTAAAAATCACAGATTTAAACTAGGTTCATCTTGGAAAATCATCAAATCTAGTTTTAAATCAAATCCTGTTCATCAAGAGGAACTGTTCATGATCAAATCACAGTTCATCTTGCAAAACTGAGGATCAAAAGCAGCAAGGGGCGAGACATGTCTCCGGAGCCTGGGTACGGTTCAGCTGACAGGGCCCCGGGTATTTCACTCACTTGGTGCGTTGGCGCCTTAAAAAAACATGGGAAAACATCGGAAAATCTTTGGGAAAATATGGGCAAATGGTCTATGAATGGATTTTTTGTGGATTCCTTGGAGATTCTACAGGATTTACCATGAAAAATGGTGATTGAACGGTGATTTTCCACGGGATTTTCCATCAACAATAGGGATTTTACGGAAATGGGATGTGATTTGTTGGGGTACAACATCTGCAACAGACTGGACAGCTAGTGGAAAATTCTTTAGTTCTTTGCAAAAATGGATAATCACATATGACAAGGTTTAGTGAGCTGCCAAAGATTGACCATGAACACGGGATGATAGAAACGGATTTTACCATACAGTCCATGTCTTAACCAGCTTAATCCACTGGTTTGTGGCCATCTGTGGATCAAACTGGTCATTTTTGTTTCTGGTTCCAAACCCATTTCATACTGTGGATTGAAAAAAATGCACCAGTTCTGATCCCATTTTTTACAGTGTTTCATAGTTACCTACCAGTGACCAACTGGTGCAGGATTTTGCCCATCCACATTTTGTTTTGATTCTTCTGCAAAATAGCCTAAAATTGTCTAATCTGTCGATGGTCCGGGTAAATGGATGTATCCCAGTGGTAGGTTCAAGGGTTCTGTTTGCCATGTTGATGCACAGAGGAATATGAGTTATCTTAAAGTTCGCCAGGATTAAGAACTGGTTGGTTAACTGATAACTGGCGGGTTCATCCAATCTATTGATCCATTTCCGCTATTGTTGGTTGATTCCCCATAGCTTTCTGTGTGCTTCGTGTAAAAGCTTCTCTGTGTAAAGGCTTCTCCGTGTAAAATATTCTTCGGTGTGTAAAATTGCCTCTGTGTAAAAGCTCGCCGTGTGAAAAGTTTTTTTGTGTAAAACCTTCTCTGTGCAAGCTTTGTAGTACGCGGTGGTACTGGGATGTACTGTGTGCGCGTCTTGTAGTAGGAAGTAGAACTGGGACTGCAGCCTATGCAGTACAAGGTAGTACCGGGAAGTACTTTGTGCAATTTTTGCAGCACAAAGTAGCACTGGGAAATGCTTTGTGCAAGCCTTGTAATACAGAGTAGTACTGGGAAGTACTTTGTGCAAACTATGTAGTACAGAGTAGTACTGGGATGTATTTTGTGCAAGCTTTTTGGTGCGAAGTGGTACTGGGAAGTAATTTGTGCAAGCTTTGTAGTACGCAGTAGTACTGGGAAGTACTTCGTGCAAGTTTTGTAGTACGAAGTAGTACTGGGATGTATTTTGTACAAGCTTTGTAGTGCGAAGTAGTACTGGGAAGTACTTTGTGCAAGCTTCGTAGTACAAAGTCGTACCGGTAAGTATTTTGTGCAAGCTTTGTAGTGCGAAGAAGTACTGGGAAATACTTTGTGCAAGCTTTGTAGTGCCAAGTAGTGCTGGGAAGTACTTTGTGCAAGCTTTGTAGTACGAAGTAATTCCGGGACGTGTCTTGCGTCTATGTCTCAAGCTTCTGTGTCCACAAGCTTCTCTGTGCAAATCCGTTCTGCGTGCAACGGTTTTTGTATGCAAGATCTTTTCTCTGACATCAAAAGCTTTCTGAGGCACAGAAGAGCTGAGATGAATTAAGACGAGCTTCAGTGAGATGAGAAAAGTCGACTAGTTCTCCGATGAGCTGAAAATAGTTGAGAAGAACTATTAGATGTCGCATCAGAAGAGATGGTATGAGATGAGATGAGCTGAGATGAGGTGAGAAAAGCTCAGATGAGATGAGATGAGATGAGATGAAGTCTGGAGTGTGAAGTGTGGTTTGTGAAGAGTGTAGTGTGAAGTGCGAAGTGTGGAGTTTCAAGTGTGACATTTGGCAGTGAAGCACTTTCGCACAAAGCACGCAGTCACGGGCCTCGCTGGCGCACGGCGCATGCAAGTTCTGTAGATGAAAAAAAAAAAAATATATATATATATAATCCCGAGGCAACTTCCGCCCCGCCTCCTGCCGGTACTACTGTATATAGAATGTCCGCAAATTATCGTGCTTCTGATTGGAATTGTGACTGATCATTTGCGGGTCGTATATCCTTGCTTTTTTTTGGTTAGAGTGTGCTTGAGTGTTTGGTGATTTTGGTGTTCCTTCTTGATTGAATGTGGGATTCGGGGTTAGAAGCATGTGAACACTAAGCCCGCGCTTCGTTCGGTGCCTTTTACCACCACCAAGCCAAGTACTCAGCTGACTCCACGCTTCCCGGAGATCCAGTATAAGACCCGGATGACCATTTGATCTCGACGGCGCTTTCATTGGCCGCCCTCGCGGGCACTTCAGACGATGCAGCTGCGAAGTCTGTTGCCCAAATTGTGGGCGCGTGAAGGACCCGCTGCAGATGGCTCGCTCAGCCGGAGTGTGGTAGTACGCTGAGACTGCACACGGGGAGACGGAAGTGAGCTCGCTTCTCACTACGATTTTTCTGCTGCATGGAAAAGGCAGCATTGTGAATGATAGAACGCATTGCTCTCCCTGGCAGCACCGGAGCAGCATCCCGGTGCAGACGCAGCACCGGAGCAGCATCCCGGTGCAGCCCCTGGCGGAGGAGCAGCCCGGTGCAGCTCGCCCGGTGGATCTGCGATGTCTCATGAAGGCGGCAGGCAATGGTCTGTGGCGGTCATCCAACGCGGACAAGACTGAGGAGGTTCTTCGAGTGATCGATTTGGCTTCAGTGGAGATGGAAGTTTGTTTGCATACCTATGCGGATGGCGCGAAACGATTATATATATATATATGGCCACAATGATGCTCCAATATTACCACGGTTGATCCATTGGAATGATTGTTGCCCCAATATTACATAAGACTATTCAAAATTAAATGGGAAGGAGTCAAACACTATAATGCCATAGGTTTCTCGGGATGAATATCCATAAATCTCAACAGTATATTGGTGTGAACATCCATACCAGGGTTTTGACCCATAGCCATACAATGTGGTACCCCCCCAGCTATAAATGATCCCATCAACCATAAATATATCTACCATAAGTCCTAGTTATTGGAGTTATAAACCAACTTAGCTATCTATGGGGCACCACTTTATATCTCACTGTTCGGTGACTAAAACCTCCAGTTTTTGCTGCTTCTTCGAAGGGTGCTTCGACTGAGGACTTGGTGCTTGGCAACAGCGCGGCAACCCGAGGCGGCCGGGTCGGCGGTTTTGTATACCCAGTCCTTGAAAGATGGGAATGTGGGGCCCCCGTTTACGATAGCTAAGTTGGTGCTAATAACTCCCATAACTATGGTTTATGATATTTATGGTTTATCATATTTACAATTCATAACTATGTTTTTTTTTTTGCCAGCTTATTACTCCCAGTAGGGTGTATAAACCAACTTACAAACTGGGGCTGGGCACATTGTGGGAATCATCAATTTCGCCATTCCAGGGACCTGCGTGAGTGAGTCATTTGAGGTACCCACCAAATATAAGGCTTATGTAAGCGCTATGTAAGGGAATACATCCACCAACACCAAATGAAAGGTCTTATGTGGTACAGTGCCTCCATTTTAGGGCCTTGAAATTCGCATTGAAATTGGGGGGTTTCCTGCAATTGGGGGTGCCCAAAATGGATTGTTTATAAGGGAGAACCCTACTAACATGGATTCGCCATTTTTTTGGACACTGGATATGATATATTTTGATCCCCTGAGAAAAACAAAATTATTCCAACGTTCTCATAAAGCCGTCCCAGGCAAGAAAGGCTGTGAACATCAGGGATTCAGCCAGCACGGTTGCAACCATTTATGAAGTATAGTTAGATGGGGTAAAAAAACAATTTAGGGACTATATAGTGGACTTTTATTTTATGTATTCATGGTGGGTTTATCATTTCATATCATTTCTATATAGTTCCATGGCGCCTCAACAACTCACTTTACAACTGGGAATCTCCAGCGTTTTTGTCCTGGGGGCCTGGGTTGCTTTGGGGGAGGTGAAAAGCCCGGGATGCACAGTCTCAAGATCATGTCCCTCCGATCAGTCCCTATGTCCCTTGGCCAATGGGAAGGCATCCCACAAGGTGGTGCCCCATAGTTAGCTAAGTTGGTTTATAACTCCAATAACTTGGGTTTATGGTAAATATACCTATACTTAATGGGTGTTATAAACTAATTTATAACTGGGGGGCACCACCTTGCAGGAATCGTCAATGGCTACCGTTACTGGATGTTACCGGTGTTTTTGATCGCGGGGAAAATTCCCAACATGGGAAAGGATGGGAAAATCATGGGAAATTTCTGGGAGAATCACCTATAACATCCTATAAATGAAGGATCATACAATGTGGGGCCCCCAAATGTCATGTGAATATTGGTTTCTTGTAAACGATAGTTATTTAGGTATCATAAACATTCATAAACCATATAGTTATTGAAATCATGTTCACCAACTTAGCTATCGTCAACGGGGGCCCACATTGTATAAATGGTGCATGGTCGACATTTACAGGACTTATTCGCCGAGGAACGACCTAGCAATGGTGGAGACGCCATGGCCTCTTTTAGCAATTTCGTAGCACTTTTTAATTGGGACTTGGGGATAATTGTCATTGGATTGGCAAACCATTGTTCTGGGTAAATTATAACGACCTCACTGCGACTGAACCCTGGAATCATGGTTAATAAGGGACATCATCCCCAAGATGGCCTTGATTCAGCTTAGTGAAATATTACAATTTACCCAGATTGTTTTCATTATAAAAATACAGATAAAATACAGGTTTTCCCATAACATTTCCCTTAAACCAATCCAATGAAATTGCCGATTGTTCGAGTCAAGGGCTTGCCGACTATTCTGAGGATTGATCACCTGGGGTGAAACTGACAGCCATCTTGGCATCCCAATAAACATGTTTTGTCTTGTCACCAATTTTAGAATATATGTTTGTTGGCATATAAGGTTATGTATCCTTATTTCAGTTTATAACCTTATTGACCACTGAAATCAGTTGGCGCATAACTTGTCTATATAAGATATGCTGTAAATAAGATATTTCCCAAAGTTAACATAGATTTGGCCCATAAAGTTACCAACATTAGATCGAATTTTGGATTACATTCTTAAACTGGACATATTTGAACTGTCGTCAGATCGCGCCGAGGCAGCCAAACATCTACCTCTCAGGGAGCATGGACAGGAGAGGCGGCGATGTTTCGTACCGGGATCCTTCACCAGATTCAATTTTTTTGTGGCGATCATGTCCTTGGATAATGTGGTTCATAACCCATCCCCCAGTCATCACCATTTTGATAGGTGGTATGTTTACCAATCCCAATGTGTAGTTTATGACATTGTTTTAACCACATTACCCCAAGAGTGAATGCTTCAACGCTAGATGCAAAATGCGGATGCAAAACGGCATTAGAAGACACAAGTCTAGGATCGTCATTTGAGTCAGGTTTTACATCATTTTCTGTGTACCTGTGCATTCGCCGCGACCGGTGTCCTCGCAACATGTAAGCGATGATCGAATAACAAGTGTTTGCTGCATAAATTGTATATAAACATTATACCTTATACATATATATATATATATTTGTACATATATTATACATATAGTTGCATACTGGATACATTATTTCAACCTCACGTCGCGACGTCACTAGAGGATGTTGGTATCTGTCCCAAAATGGCTGAACTTTTCTAGTGACAGATTATAGTTTACTCATACGTATCAGTATGTATTGTATATATATATATTTAAATATCTATATAGATGGTTGTCATAAATTGAAGTTGGGGATATCAATTGGGTTGGAAATGGAAAAACAAATATGTTTTTCATATATATCTTTCATATGATCGTTAGTATTAGTGTGATTGCGAAATTAAATTCAAGTTTCTATCTAAAATGGTTGAGTACTGCGCAATACAAAAGCCCTAATCTTTACAGTCATATTTGGATTATGTGGTGAAATGACGGAGTGTGAGCGCGCCAGAAGATGAAGATTTGCCATGAAAGTTGGGACTAGAACCTTCATCCGTGCAAACAAAACTGTTGTCTAAGTTATGGCTTTCGAATTTCCATCATTTCTCCGCACGCCCCCAGGAGCGTCCTCATTTGGGACACGCGCAACGGTCCAAAGCCTGTGGGTTGGCTCAGTGGCGTCGACATCTCGGGAGATTCCATGGACGTCTCCAGAGACGGGCACACGCTGCTGGTGGGCCCGGGACCTCAACGATGACGTGAGCCTCAGCGGGGAGGAGTTACACTGGATTTCATGGATTTGAACCACCTGACACAAAAATCGGGGTAAAGGGATAATGAGGTATAAGTTAATGGAATATAATGGGATTATTTCATATAGAACGCTATTTCATCAAAAGGTTCATCATCATGTTCTCATTTGAAGTGTTATTTGCTTGTATATGGAATGTTCAATCACATCCATTTAGTCCAGAACCAAAGTGGTTGCTTTCAACTCTTAATGTGAACAAATGTCAGTATAGTGGGTTTTTTTAATAGGAATGATGACGAGTTCATAGGACTGCCAGGCCTTCAGGGTCTCGTTCAGGGAAAGGGATGAATATCCCAACCCATTACTGATGCCATCATTGTAGGATTGGAGATCGCCCCCCCAACAAATACGGCCTCATAGATGGGGGTTATCAACTTCCACGAAGCCTTATTCGGCCTTAGTATTTAATGTCTCTTGTTGGGGACATCCCTTTGGGGTTACCGTTAAATTTCTATGTGATGATTTAGCCCTTTAACATGGTACAAAATAGGTATATCACCAACAACATGTGGCCTCTGGGATCCACTGGGCCAACAGGTTGCACTCAGAGTGGTGACCCCCACCCAGTTAAAGTATAAGTTGGTTTCTGATTTCTACCAATAATCACCATAAACATCCATAAAGTCTAGTTAAGCTAATTGTAAACCAACTATATGGAGTTAACTGCTTAGTAAGCGGCTTAGAAGTTATAACATGTTATAACATGTTATAACTCACGATAATCCACGTAACAAAATAAGCATATAGAAACTGGACAGACAAACATCTGATCCTTCGACTTTAATCCTGGCCCTCCATGGCCCATTAGGCAGCCATCGAAGTTTGAACCCCTTGCAACTCTTCGACTTGCGTGCGCTGCCTCAGAAAATGACTTCGCGGGATTCTTCCAAGATAATATTCACAGGTGATATAGGATATTAAAGGATAAATGATAAACAAATCGATGTTTTTTTATAGGATTTTATGTTGATAGGAAATGAGCCAGCAAATTCTTACTGGGAATCCATGTTTGGTAATTTAAGAGTTTGCCATTGAAAGTTGCCATGCAGTGCTTTGATTTACCCATTAAAAATGGTGATTTTCCAGAGCAAACTGTTAGTTTACCAGTGATATAGGGCCTTTGTTTGTTGTTAATGTATTTATAAATCATCATTCGATGTGGCACCAGTCACGTAGAAACTGCCAATGACAAGTTCTATGGGCAGGTTTATGGCTGGTTGGGCAAGTTCTGTTTCCTCCCTGTTGTTCATGGCTTGACGCCGCAAACCGACTAAAGACAATCAACGGAAAAGATGTGACGCTTGGGAGCGGGAATGGATTGTACCCATTTGGCAATTCTTCTAATTCGGAAAAACCCATGGGAAAATGGTGATTTAACCAGCAACAATGGTGATTTAATGGTGATTAACCCTCTGGTAATGGTGATTCAATGGTGATTAACCCATAATAGAAAAAAAACGCTATCTGGTGATTAACAATGGTTAATAATAATCTATAATAGTCTATGGTACAATACTTAAGATCTTACATACTAAGATTAGGATGAATAAATATATAAATATGAACCATAATATTGGTAATTTAGATTATTTTGGTATTTAGCCATCTCAAGAATTATTCAAATGCTGGCCTAAATTATAGATGGTTTTCCACACTCAACATAAACGTCTTCTAGGTCCCTTTTACATACTTGATATTAGAAAGCGCATGGACTCTATTTTCAGACTTTTGTCATTCATATAGACAATGATTGTTGGTGAGTTTCCGACTATTTCACAATGTCTACTACAGGATGGTGCCCCCCAGTTATAAGTTGGTTTATAAGCCCCAGTAACTATAGTTATAAATACCATAAACCATAGTTATGGGAGTTATAAACCAAGTTAGCTAACTATGGGGCACCACCTTGTATTGTTGACTATTGTTGTTGATTTCCAGACCTCCGTGAAAGATTAGGATCGGCATTCGGTGTTTTTTATGTTCCGCGAATCGGTTTCTTCACCGTTTCTGCAAAGCCAGGGATGATCAAAGCAGCTGATGAAGAATCGAAACAGGCCGCCACAGGATGACTCGATCTGATCTGGTTGGTAGTTTGGAACATGTTTTTATTGTCCATAATATTTATAATATATGGGATAATCCTTCCTATTGACTAATATTTTTTAAGATGGTTGAAACCACCAACCAGTGATTTGTTTCTTATCATTGGCCACATAATTTTCTACGATGGCCCAGTTGCAGGTTGGTTTGTAAATCTGAAATGTTGTATATACTGTATGTATATATATATATATCAAGTTATCAAATATAATGATATCACCAAATTTATATATATATATATATACACCAAAATACCGATGATACAGATTTCCTAGTTGTCCACCTATTTATTTGGCAGAGATCACTGGTCTATGTCGGGTCCAAGGCTATACTGTCGACAAATTGCTACTGAGGCAATCCTTGGTTGAATCGATGCCCAAAGCATATAGATACCTCACTTTTTGTTTGTCAGATCTTCTGTGATCGGGATGGTAAACATGAGTTTTCGCTGGCATGGAAGAAAATGCCGACTGTTCCGAAGATGATTTCCAGGGTCTACCCCAGTTGCCAAGAAGTTACGCTTCGTGGCATGCCAAGTGCTGCAGGCGGGTCTGTCTGGACAAGCCTTCCAGTCCTATCAATGGTGCCTTGACAGGGGGCTCCAGCTGCTGTTTCAATTGACGTTTTACCCACAAATGGGGCTTGAATCCAGAAAAAAATCCGGTTCAATAATTGGTACTGGTAGTTGCCATGAAGAACTGGGGAACCTTGGGTGATGTGTGTCTTTTTCCTGCCAAAAATCTGGATACATACTACTAGCATCTACTAGCTTTATTAGCAGGGACACCGGGTTTCTATGCGTAATTAGCCATGTTTGGTGGAGAGCGGATCCAAACAAAACGGGAATTTGCTGGGAATTAAACAGTTCGAACAGGAATGCGTCTAGGATCATCCCAGTGTTCTCAAACAGGGTCAAGCCCAACAAGCTGGTTCACAGGAACCTTTCCTGAAGATTAAATTATGATTGTTTACGGGTCAAAAGGGATAATCACTGTTTCAGCATAAATTTACATATGCCGCAGACCCCAGTCTCATGGATGAGATATGGTCTTAAAAAATCTGCAATATTCACTGTTTTTTGAGAAACACACAGGTATCAGGTGAGCCCCCAAGATGGTTAAGTTTGTTTATAAACCCTATCAACTATTAGTTATCATATTATAATCTGTATATATATAGATAGATTGATAGTTATTGTGGATCATTCCCTCATTCCCTGCTAAGCACCAGTAAGGCTTTTTAGACCCCCAAGAAATGGACGCCACAATTGTCCTCTCCAAAGACCTCCGAGGTCGGGTGAAGACAACTCTGAGGCAAGCTGCGTATCAAAGTGAAGGGGGTGAACTCGGAAAAATCATGAAACATCCATGTGAAACTAGGAAACAAGGGAAGTTACAGTGGATTTATGATAGTTGAGTCAGTTTCAACAGTTTAAGCACCAAAGTTATGGGAAAATCTACGTGAAAACATGGCTTTTACCATCAAATAGAGGGTTTAACAATCATTATATATATATAATTTTATAATATACATATATATATGTATATATATATATATAAAGTGGCAAATATGGAAACATGGTCGTTTAAACATCAGACTTATAGGTGGGTAACAAGAGTTTTTCTGATTGTAGATAAGTCGTTTTGTGATACTTAAGCTGGTCAGCTGGCATCCATGGTGTTTTTTCACAATCAACGGAGCTATTTGATGGATTTTGATGGGATATATACAACCGATCGGGATTACATTGTATAATCTGTATATACTGGTTGGTGGTTTGGAACATTTTTTATTTTCCATATATTGGGAATAGTAACCCTAACTGGCTAATATTTTTCAGAGGGGTTGAAACCACCAACCAGTATAATATTGTATACCGCTGACTTGGTAGCTATATTGGGAATATCCCAGTAGCTATGATGATACGTAGTGATATTCGGGAGATACAACGAAAAATATCAATGGTGATCATTGGTGAACATTTGGTGGAAAGGGTGGAAATTGACCATCAATGGTGGTGAAAAGCTCGGAAAACTCGGTATGTACTGTTTTGTTTTCAACCAATACTGGGAGTTATATGGGAGAATTATTCATAAATACTTCTCGCAAATGGAGCTTAAATAGAAGAGTACAATCATGTACAATCCAATCCTCAAAAAGTTGCAATCTGAACAGATTTAACCTGTGGAAGCCAACGTGGTCAGCTGGTCAGATGGGGGATGGCTGGAGAAAGCTACTAATGGCTGTGGAGCCCCCCAGTTACTGTACAAGTTGGTTATTGTTGTTTATACACCCCATGAATACTCTAGTTATGAGTATCATAAACCATGCTTAGTCATGAGTTATGGGAGTTATAATCCAACTTAGCTACCGTTTGGGGGCCCTACATTGTATGTCCCTTTGCAATTAACTCCGTGCCAAAGAATCCAGTTGTGCTTGCTTGCGGTGGTTTTCGAAATTTCCCAATTGGAAATCTAGCACTTGCAGAATCTATAGGCATGTGTTAAGGCCTTGCTGCGCAGTCTTAAGGCTTGGTAAGCCCACAAATCATGGTTCCAACTGAAATGGTGCTAGGGGATGCAGTTCCACCAAAAAGTGGGTTATATAACCATAGTCCATAGTCCATAGTTGTAGGGGTTGTAGCCTACCTTATGGAGTTTATTACCATATAGGTATACCGGTATGCCCATCAATAACCTCAACGACCCAAGACACCCTGAAAACATCTGAAACCAAGAAATGTGGGTTTCCAAAGTCATGGGGCCATGGGGTACCCCCAAATCATCCATGTATAGATGGATTTTCCATTACAAGCATCCTTTTTGAATATCCCCATTTATGGAAACCCTCAAATATCCTATATGAAATTGTGTATTTATAAAGCAGTGTGTGGATTCCATGTTGCTTTTTTGGTGTGCCAATCACCAACTTGTCTAAATCCTGGGTGAACATTGGCACAGGTGCAGAGCAACCCCTCGTGTATGGTCTTCCAAGCTGCGTTTGGAGAGCTCAGTTGGACACATGATCACACATCCCCCAAAACCGGATGGATTGTACCCGCACATGCACTTTGAGGTTTAGTTTTTTTTCCATTAGATGGGTAAACGCTTGTTTAGCAGGACATCAAAAATCACCAAGAGGTGATAGTCCCTGTATTGGACCCTAAAAGGGACAGATTCACTACTACACCATGGTTTCTGACGCAATTGTTTGTTACGTGGGTTAAGGGATTACTTGGAAGGGAAGTAGGTTTGTGAAAAGAAACCATTGTCATGACTGATGTATGATGGATAGACTCGATGATGAAATTTGGAGGGTAAATCATGGTAAATCATACCCAGTTGCCCTTTGCAAGGGCAAGAACCTTCTCTGGTGGGTGGTTTGGAAGTTTCGACATCTAAGTCAGCGTGTAGAGCAAAGAGGTACAAAAAAAAGGGGTGGTTTGGAACATGAATTTTATATGCCCATTCAGTTGGGAATTTCATCATCCCAACTGACGAACTCATATTTTTCAGAGGGGTAGGGCTCAACCACCAACCAGTTCTTGAGGCTGTTTCTATATCAGAATCTGATTTCTGGGGTATCTGACCAGTCAGAGCAGAGCACGAAGGTTTTCATGTTCATCCTTGAAGTTCAAGGGTGCCCCATGGTGTGGCCCATGGGTCTCTCCCAACGCTTAAGAAATCATTGTCGTTTATGACAATCAGTGAACGCTAAGAGGACCTTATTTGCTTGTGAGCTTTGGGGGTAGCAGTGATTTCCATATATTTCCCCTGATGTTTACTGATTTTCGCGCTGGAAGTCTTTGATGAAACCTCTGATAAGGGCAGCTGATAGACAGCGCCAGGTTCAGTGGATTGGAATAACTTTCTCGAAGAGCGCGGATGTTCAAATCCCATCACATCTCTCTTCATTGATGTTGCGAAGGACCAGTTTGCACCTGTAGGAACTTCGGCATTTCTCAATCAAGTTCACATAATTTTTCCTGCCCGCTCGCATCATCTGATGAAGGCGGAACTGACCCGTTTTCAACTGAATTCTATGACCTGATTGGGTTTGTCTGGTCTTGTCTGGAATTTGTGTTGCAGGAAGCTTTGATTCCACCTGGATTATGCCTCCACACGAGCTTCGAAATGTTGCCCATGGGGTGTGTTTCAGGCCTTTTAACGCACGACTCAAGCCGGTTGGTCGTTTCAAAGTAATACATGTTTGGATGATGATCTCAAACAACAATGTATCTTTTTGCTTCAAACAACTATAGTCCTACAGTTATGGCCATTTATTAGTTATAACTGGTTATTTCTATGGGATTATACAATCTATAAATGGGGTTTTGTTAGTACTTATAACTGGTATTTCGGGCCATAACTGTATAGTTATTCCGTTAAAACCTCGGGTTAAGATCTCAAAACCTCGAGATGCCATGAGATGCCCGGTCTCATCGGTGCAGGCCAGTTCCCGAAATGTTAAACAGCCGAAGTACCAGTGATGTTTGTACTAACAAAACCCCATGTATAGAATATAATAAATGTACAAACTAATAAATGGATAACTAATAGCATTGGATAACTAATTAAATGTCCAAACAGTTAGTTTTACAAAATATCCATATACTTACCTTGTATAACTAATAAATGGATAACTCATAAATGGATATAAATGGAAATAACGGGCAATTTAATCTATGTTTACTAGTACTGAAATGTATAATCCCATAGAACTAAGCAGTTTTAACTAATAGCCAAGGCCATAACTGTATGTACTACATGTTTGGAGTACTCCCCAACATTAATTCCCAAATGACCCAGATGTAGCTAAATATGGGGCATGGGTTAAACGGTTAAACATATTTTGTGAGGATAAACATTCTCTACCAACTATCTGCTGTTCACCATGGGTACAGGGTTTTGACTTATACTTATAGCCGTAAATACAGCATATAAACATGCAGCTGTACTGGATGCCGTTACAATTAATTCATCCATTCATCCATTCATCCATTCCATTTTGTGTACAAAGTGCTGCCCCTTCATTATGCTGGTCCATGTTCACACCTCCAACCACCGCCATAAACCAACAGTTCACCTTGTCATTCCAAGGAACTTCACCATCATAAGTAATCTATGACATTCTATGACCCTGTGATGTTTCGGTTGGTTTTTTCTGTTTCATATGAAATGTTCATATGTGTGTTGATATAAGATTGAGATATGATAGGATGATAAGATATGAGATATGAGAAATTGATTGCATCCCAAATCCCAAGTTTTTTTAAATGTATTCAATCCCCATTTCTGGTATACCGACAGTTTTTGTCGTTATTCCCCATCCCCATTCCAGCAACTTAGCTCACCACCTCACAGCACGGCTCAGGTGGGACAGTTTCGATAGCACCACCATTTGCGCAGCTGGAGAGAAGAACAACCAGGCGCGATCCGTCAGCTAAGTTGGCTGCTTGGTTTCTGGAAGACTTCCCCCCAGCATAGTTTCAATCGCCAGCCGCTTGGTTGTAAAGCGACGACTAAGGGGTGCGCTTCCTGTCAACTTTCATAACTTAAGGGATACTTCTGATGGGTCTACCATCACAAAACAGATAAAACAGTTGATTTAGCATCCAAACATTAGGATTTGACGAACAGAAATGACCTTCAGAAAACACCAAAAAAACATGGGATGTTCACGATTTCACAGATCTTGGGATGGAACCAAGAAAACGAGGGGCCATATGGCGCCATCAAGCAGAATCAAACATGGAGATTGGATGCTTGGTTAAATCATGGTAGGTTTAACATTATCATTTTTATCATGTTTAAATCATGGTAGGTTTAACACTACTATCATTATTAAAATGGTTAAATCATTGTAAGTTTAACACTATTATCATTATTATCATTGTTAAATCATGGTAGGTTTATGTAGGTTTAGCAATATTATCGTTATTATCATGGTTTAATCATGGTAGGTTTAACACTATTATGACTATTAAAATGGTTAAATCATGGTAGGTTTAACACTATTATCATTATTATCATGGTTAAATCATGGTAGGTTATGTAGGTTTAACACTATTATCATTATTGTTTCTTGTTAAAGCATGGTAGGTTTATGTAGGTTTAACACTATTATCATTGTTATCATGCTTAAATCATGGTAGGTTTAACATTATCATTATTATCATGTTTAAATCATGGTAGGTTTAACACTACTATCACTATTAAAATGGTTAAATCATGGTAGGTTTAACACTATTATCATTATTATCATTGTTAAATCATGGTAGGTTTATGTAGGTTTAGCAATATTATCGTTATTATCATGGTTTAATCATGGTAGGTTTCACACTATTATCACTATTAAAATGGTTAAATCATGGTAGGTTTAACACTATTATCATTATTATCATGGTTAAATCATGGTAGGTTATGTAGGTTTAACACTATTATCATTATTGTTTCTTGTTAAAGCATTGTAGGTTTATGTAGGTTTAACACTATTATCAGTGTTATCATGTTTAAATCATGGTAGGTTTAACACTACTATCACTATTAAAATGGTTAAATCATGGTAGGTTTAACACTATTATCATTATTATCATTGTTAAATCATGGTAGGTTTAATTAATATTATTCTCATTATTATCATGGTTAAATCATGGTAGGTTTAACACTATTATCATTATTGGCCTGGTTAAATCATGGTAGGTTGATGTAGGTTTAACGTTGCTATCATTATTATCATGGTTAAATCATGGTAGGTTTAACACTATTATCATTATTATCATGGTTAAATCATGGTAGGTTGAACATTGCTATCATTTTTATCATGGTTAAATCATGGTAGGTTTAGCACTATTTATCATTATTACATGGTTAAATCATGGTAGGTTTAACACTACTATCATTATTATCATGGTTAAATCAAGGTTTAACATTATCATTATTATCATGGTTAAATCATGGTAGGTTTAACACTACTATCATTATTATCATGGTTAAATCATGGTAGGTTTTTGGAGGTTTAGCAATATTATCATTTTTATCATGGTTAAATCATGGTAGGTTTAACACCATTATCACTATTAAAATGGTTAAATCATGGCAGGTCAAACATTATTATCATTATTATCAGGGTTAAATCATGGTAGGTTTAACATTATAACCATTATTATCATGATTAAATCATGGTAGGTTTCACACTATTATCATTATTATCATGGTTAAATCATGGTAGGTTTAACAGTATTATCATTATTATCATGGTTAAATCATGGTATGTTTAACATTATTGTCATTATTTTCATGCTTAAATCATGGTAGGTTTAACATTATCATTATTATCATGGTTAAATCATGGTAGGTTTAACACTATTATCATTATTATTATGGTTAAATCATGGTAGGTTTATGTAGGTTTAACACTATTATCATTATTATCATGGTTAAATCATTGTAGGTTTAACATTGCTATCATTATTATCATTGTTAAATCATGGTAGGTTTAATCAAAATTATTATCATTATTATCACGGTTAAATCATGGTAGGTTCAACATTGCTATCATTTTTATCATGGTTAAATCATGGTAGGTTTAACATTGCTATCATTATTATCATGGTTAAATCATGGTAGGTTTAACACTACTATCATTATTATCATGGTTAAATCATGGTAGGCTTAACATTACTGTCAGTATTATCATGGTTAAATCAAGGTTTAACATTATCATTATTATCATGGTTAAATCATGGTAGGTTTAACACTACTATCATTATTATCATGGTTAAATCATGGTAGGTTTATGTAGGTTTAGCAATATTATCATTATTATCATGGTTAAATCATGGTAGATTTAACACTATTATCATTATTAAAATGGTTACATCATGGTAGGTTTAACACTACTTTCATTATTATCATGGTTAAATCATGGTAGATTTAACACTATTATCATTATTATCATTGTTTAACATTGTTTAACATTATGTTTTATTTCACATTTAACATGAAGATTCTCGAGCTTCCAGTGCGGTTCCAGGTTGGCCTTGGGCATTCTCAATCATTCTCTCTGTCAGCCTTTTGAACCTATATATACATGAACCAACCATTGTCGCGCGTCCAAACGGCCTGACATTCGTTGCGGAGATTCAACGGGGCCTTGCCAAACCAAAGTTTCTTCTTAGCAGTGTGATTTGGTGGCATGGAGCTTCATCATCGGCTATACGATCCAGAAACCGGTTTCGAAGGCCGTCCAAATTCGCTTGGTCCAAATTGCAGGGCCTCGAAAATCGGGTTGACTAAGGAACTACTCGAGGAAACCCTGCTTTTCCCTGGCGGAAGGGCGTTTCCTGTGATTTTTAGTTTGTCAAATTCTACTTTAATCTTGGTCCAAATTGGGGTGATAGTGTCTTTGTTCGTACTGCACATCTCAGGTTAGTGAACTATGAACATTTATCATAATTTATCCAGATCAATGAAAAAGAAAACTCAACAAAATGGCTGCGGCGTATCTAAAAGTGGCCGCGTGAGACATCAGTGGAGCAACCACCACTTGTAGACTTGTAATAGCTCTCGACCATATGGTTTCCCATCCCGCCGTGTGAATATTCGGAACACCTCTGGCATAAGCACTTCCCATTCTTTGCTGCTCGGTTCGATGCTACCCTTTGCTTTGTCGACATCTCCAGTTGAGTCATTGTACCTGCATGCGATTGCATGCGCATCCAAGTTATAGTAACTGGGGAATGAAGACCGTATTTTGAAGGTACAATCCCAATTCTGGCAAAGTAGCAGATTTAGAGGCACCCGGTTTTCAAAGAAACCTCTGGCGCAGCCCTCTTAGAACTATGGTGTTGTTGGTGAATTCATTTTTGCTGGACTAGTCAGCTGAATCCCAGTGTGTTGGTTAAATCTCAATTGTTTTCATGGCATGGCCACTTTTTGGTAGTTTGACACAGCAATTCAATATTAACCATGTGTATAATTTAGATGACTGCGAAAGTTTCTGTTGAATAAAATCCATTGTGCTCATTGCCTACCCTCTGGTAAACTGTTACACACCTACAGAAAGAAAAAAAATGGTAAGTCAACTATAAATGTGCCATTTTCAATAGCAAAGTGTTAGTTGACCAGAGGGAAAATCACCATTAATTCACTGTTAGCCATTAATGACCTCCATTAACCACCATTAATTCACTATTTCAATCCCCCAGTTCTTTGCTTCTCCACTGGCCCCACACTAGGCGCGTATCTTTGAACGTCCCAAAGCAGGAGGGCCTTTGAGGACGGGGAAAGCTGCGCAGCGCAGCGAAAAAAAACACACAAAATGGAGGATAATTAACAAAACATCAACAAAACCCATATATGGTACATTTAGACATAAAAAAATATAACATGCAGTAATGTATAAATGGAGGGGATATATATATGTATAGATAGATAGATAGATAGATAGATCGATAGATAGATAGATCGATAGATCGATAGATACATAGACCGATACATGGAGAGATAGATAGAGAGATAGAGAGATAGATAGATAGATACATAGACCGATACATGGAGAGATAGATAGATAGATAGAGAGATAGAGAGATAGATAGATAGATAGATAGATAGATAGAGAGATAGATAGATAGATAGATAGATAGATAGATAGATAGATATATATAATCAAATATATAGATATAGATAATCAAATAGATAGATATAGATAATCAAATAGATAGATATAGATAATCAAATAGATAGACAACCAAATAGATAGATAATCAAATATATAGATAATCAAATAGATAGATGATCAACAAACCATCAGTAACTGCTTGGAACTGGGATCAACAGGGTGCCTATATGACCCAAATGTACCCAAAAAAAAAGGTTTGCCACGATCCGAAGTGCTTGAGGTGGCCGGTGTATCACTGTATCACTTCCATCGAAAAATGGGCTTGTGAACTATGCTGCAAAATGGGGCTTGTAGACCTAGACCGATTGTGGGCTTCACCGCCAGAAACAATGACATATATATATATATCATACGTATATATGGTCCAGCGTTCCCAGCCCCCCTGTGGTGTGGTGGGGGTGTGTACCTATACTGGTTGGTGGTTTGGAACATTTTTTATTTTCCATATTATATGGGAATTTCATCATCCCAACTGACGAAGTCATATTTTTCAGAGGGGTAGGTATAGCAACAACCAGATAAGCTCATTTTAGAACCATTTAGAACCATTTATTGTTGATGTTAAAATCCCACGTTTTGATATATATATATATTATATTAATATATTATACCTTGACTGTCTGTTGTACCCCCCGCAAGCGCTACGGTCACCACGGTCCCACCCCCGGAATACGCAGGATCATCAGCTCGGTGGAAGGGGCGGACCGCGCCTTCTACTCCTGCACCATGAGTTCGGATGCCAGGCCGTGGGGGAAGGTGTCTGGGATGATGGCTTTAATGTGTCTTTAATGGGATTTAATAGGATTTCAATAGGATTTGATGGGATTTAATAGGATTTTAGTGGGATTTAATGGGATTTGGGTGGACTTTTGGGATCTAATGGGATGTTTATGGCACTTTGATGGGACCTAATGAGATTTTAATCGGAACGTTCATGGGACCTATTGCAATGTGGTACCCCCCCAGTTATAAGTTGGTTTATAACCCCATCAACCATAGATATATCTACCATAAGTCCTAGTTATTGGAGTTATTTGCACCAACTTAGCTATCGAACTGGGGCACCACTTTGTGAGATTTGAATTAGATTTTAATGCGACCTAATGGATTTTAATGTATATAAACCCCGCAAAAGATGCCACAAAAAGTGTTTGTTCCAGGTAGTGCGATGATGTTTTCCACATCTTTTCCGGTTCAACTTTTCGGCATCGGAATATTGGGATGGGATCGTTGTGCATGTCATGCTTTAACCATCAAACATGGGGTTTCATGACAAGAAAAATCATGGATTTAGCCTCTGGTGATTTAGCAATGCAGCAAAGCTAACAATGCCCATTTTGGGTTGAGCAAACAATTTGGGTTTTAGCAGCGAAAGATGATGAAACATGGGTAACAGTTTGTGAAGTCGGGGCAGGCGAAGCGCAAAGCGAAGTCGGCTAGCCGGCTAGGAAGTGCAGTCCTGACGTAGTCTATATAGCACAACAAACATGGAATGGTCATGAATGGTTCCTAGCAATTTGAACAAATCATTGAAACAAGATAATATTTCAATGCCTGGTTCCATTACTAAAGGATAAGTAAACTCCTGAATGATTCGGCTATGGTATACAATGTGGGGTCCCCAAATTATAACTAGTTGGTGGTTTGGAACATTTGGATTATTTTTCCATTAATATTGGGAACAATAATCCCATTTGACTTTCATATTTTTCAGAAGGGTAGGGTTGAAACCACCAACCAGTATAATATTGTATAGTATAAATTATATACCAGTTGGTAGCTATATTGAAAAAAAAACAGTAGCTATAGATGATCAACCAGAGAAAGTTTACCATCATTATCCATCATCAACCACCATTAACCCCCAAATTATAAGGTGATTGTTTATTAACAACCATTAACCACCAAATTATAAGGTGATATCTTGGGGATGGTTTAGTGTTTGGTTTACCACAACAATTTCTGGTGGATGACAACAATTTCTGGTGGATCTCCCATGGATCCCACTAGTACTCACTGATGCCACTAGCTCCTGAAGAAAACATGGTGCCACAAACTTGAGAAGATGGGTGCAGTTAGGTGATAAGGGATTGTAATATATTGTAATCATGAAACTCACACAACAGTTTTTTTTTTTTTCGATTGTAATCATGATAATCTGGTTGGTGGTTTGGAACATGAACATGAATTTTATATGTTTCCATAATATATGGGATAATCCTTCCCATTGACTAATATTTTTCAGAGGGGTAGGTATACCACCAACCAGTAATCACACTCTTCAATTTCTTTTTCGGGACGTCATATGCATAGCTTTTGCAGAATGCATCAGCAGAGGCCTGTGGGGTAGGCATTTTCCGAATCCGGCGATTTGTTGATTTGGGCCACCATCTTTGAGGCTTCTCCAGGATATCATGTGGGTTGACAGACTAGCGACGGATCTGAGTTTGTCCTTTGTTTTTTGGCGATGTTCATCTGGTTGGTGGTTTGGAACATGAATTTTATGATTTTCCATAATATATGGGAATTTCATCCCAACTGATGAACTCATATTTTTCAGAGGGGTAGGTATACCACCAACCAGATGAAGGATTGGATGTTCCCTAAGAATCTCTTATTTTTGCATGGGACTTGGTATCTTAGATGCTACTTTGGAAGCGTTTTTGTCTTCGCTGGTTTTCGGCAGTAGATTTGTTCATGGACAATTTTTTAGTAGAGGCCTTCTGGGACGGCACCAATAGTTGGCTAACTTTCTTTATAACTCCAAGAACTAGGGTTTAAGGGGGATCATGTTAATTACTGGTTGGTGGTTTGGAACGTGGATTTTATTCCCATATATTGGGAATTTCATCATCCCAACTGAGGAACTCATATTCTTCAGAGGGGTAGGTATACCACCAACCAGCATATATATATAGTTATATTTGAATTACAGGGTTAACCTTGGAGACTTAACTTAGTACTTCAGTCGTTTGGTATCAATGGGATATGGGAATATGTACTATACATACTAACCAGCTGTTTGCTTTAGAAAAACACACTATGTGTGTTGCGCTGAGTCATGCGAAATTTGTTAACATAATATGTTGACTGTTTGAACTATTATCACACAATATCACATTGTTACATACAATGTGAGGCCCCCGTTCGATAGCTAAGTTGGTTTGTTATAACTCCAATAAGTATGGTTTATGGTGCTTATAACGAACTAGTTACTGGGGCGAATCTAAACCAACAAACATCACTGAGGGGGCCTCACATTGCGGTTATTAATCATCATTAACCAATATAATAACCACATCTTAACCATCATTAACCATCATTAACCATCATTAATCACCATTAATCACCATTAATCACCATATTTCACTGTTGTTGTTGCTGCTTCTGCTTAAACCCCCTTAATTGAGCAGTTGGTCATGGCAGTCATGGCAGGAGCGCCGCCTTTGGCAGTTCGGATGGCTCTGTTTGGGGCTCAGATCATGGGGATTCCATTGGCAGATCGTGGATGATATGGGGATCATTGAAGAAAAACATGGGATTCAATGGAATATAGCTATAGTGATGGGATTATATGGGATTATAGTGGGGATTATAGTGGGGATTATAGTGGGGATTATAGTGGGGATTATAGTGGGGATTATAGTGGGGATTATTGGGATTCAATGGGATTACAAAAAAAAGGCTGCTTCCAATAGCTATAAGTTACTTCTTAACCCTATCTAACTACTGAGATAGTCACCTGAAATCCTAGTTGAGCTAGCTCTTCTTGCAGTGCTCCGAATCTTTTTGACAAAAACCTCTCTCTCTCTCTCTTTGCAAAGTTCAGCCGCACAGTTATGGCCATTTATATCATTTATATCTGGTTCTATATGTCTATGGGATTTTACATAAACCATTCATTCATTTATGGGTTTATTTCAGTACTTACAACTGGTATAACTTGAGCCATAACTGTAAGTCATGGGGGTACCCCAAAATCATCCGAAATGGGTTACTATCAATGGGAAAAGCCAATGATTTGCACGTACCCATATCTCAGAAAAAACGCACTTTAATATAGTTTTCGGAAACTGTTGCTTGACCACCTTAGAACATGACCTTTTTTTGCGGACTCCATGACCTTGGTGGTGAAGTTTCCACGTGAAAAATCCCCATGAGTATAAGCATACCATTTTGTTGATGCTTAAATGTTCATGGTTTATTGATAGGATACTCATGGGATTTTAATGGCTATTAAAAACATGTCATAATTATACTAAACAAGGTGTTGATAGTAAAACAAAGTAACGTGATTTAGTGTAATTTATATGAATTTATCATATGTTTGTCGATAACCTAGAAATTTAACCATTAAATTATGTTTGCCGACTATAAATTATGCCATTTGTTGATGATCCCAGAACATATTGCACGTTATAAAAACACGTTATTTTTTGATGGCTCTCCCAGAAATCCAGGGTGAAACCCTAAAGGCAGTTTCCACGCACCTGCCATCGAGGTGATCATCTCTCATGTGCGTATCATGTAGGCACCGCACCGAGCGTGTCCCAAGTGGGGAATTGGGTAAAACTGTTTATCAACATGTATACATAATATTATATATATATATTATGTGATTTGTATATGTTTGTAATATATATATATATATATATATGATATATATATATATATAATTTTTGATATGATATATATATATATATACACTATATATATATATATTTTGGGGTATATATATATATTATGTATAGTCATGCTCAAATAGATGGAACAGCGAATCAACCCCTACTAATTTGATGACAGTTTCTTTCTTTAGCATCTGGGGATGAGATGGGGTGACTTCACCTCGATTTCCCGATGAAGAAGTGAGGGTAACTATTCCAAGATTGCCTTATTTCGCTTTGGTGAGTTATTATGATTTATCCGAATTTATCCAGACATCATGGGATTTGAAATGCCTTTTGGATTCAGAGTTGAGAATCAGAAATGGCTCCAACGTGGGGCCGTGGGGTTGAAAATGGGTCCATCGGGGATCCCAAGTTGTATCCCCATGTGGGGACCGCGCCGGAGATTTTTTTGTGTTGGATTGTGTTGATGTAGCAATTTGCCTGGGGGTTGATGATCAAATTCAGAAATTGGGATAAGTTGGGCTTTGTAAATCTTAATCAGTACCATGCCCTAATGGTCATGCGATTACTGTATCATATTGTTGAGTATACTATGCGGCGATGTGTTTTTCATCTTAATTGGCTTCAATACACAAGGGAGGGAGACCAGGGTGTATGTGTGTAAGGGACGGACCAGCATACGGACCGGGAACATGCGCGAATTATTGGTTTTTACATGTTTTTACAGCTTGTGTTTAGCCACTTTTGAGAGAAGAAATAGGACCTACGTGGGTATGTCTAAAAAAGGGTGAAGAATTCGACCAGGAATATGAGTAAACAGTATCATTTTTGAATTATTCAATTGTTTACTTATATTTTGGAGGTATTCTTTGGGTACCATTAATGGACTCTCTTCATTTATCCCGATTGGACATAGGTGAGAAACATGGGTTCAATATGTATATATATATAGATTATATATGGTTAAGATTACCCAAACATGGTTGATTATAAGGGTAATGCCCCTTTGGTGGGAAAATAATCTATGAATGTAAAACAACAATAAACCATCTCCCTAATCTATGACTGTTTTTCCCACATCAATTTCATCAAAATCTGGTTGGTGGTTTGGAACATTTTCTTTTTTTCCATAGATTGGGAATAATCATCCCAACTGACTAATATTTTGCAGAGGGGTTCAAACCACCAACCAGCATATTTTATTTTGAAACTGAGCCATACTAGTGAAGATGTAATATAGGTCTGAGCCATACCAAGCAGAAATCATATTTTGGGGCTAAGGGGTACCCTATGTACCCTATGTACCCTACGTACCGAGCGTTGCATGTCCCTGAAGGCGCGCCCGGGTCGACCCTCGACGCAAAACCGCGCCGTACGTACGGAGCCAGTTTCACACTGAGTCGCTGAGTAGAAGGAACAAATCACAATGACTTACATCTTGATTATGTTATCATATATATATATATGTATGTATAAATATATATTCCAGGCATATACATATGTCTATCTATGTATATATTCATCATGCATATTTATTAATATGTATATATACATATATACATATATACATATATACATATATATATATGTATAATATATATTCCAGGCATATTTATCAATATATATATATGATCATATATATATATATTATATTAATTATGCATATTAATTATGCATATTAATACATATATATATATATATTCATATTTAAATATATATATATATATATTCAGAAGTATGACGACAAATCAATTGTCAATCCAATTCATATATTGTTTCTCTTGAACAATAATCTGTAGCCATACTCTTTGATCACATCGCCGCAATGGGATTCAACGTGGCACTTTTTCGAATGGGAACATTGCTGCTTGGTAAATCCACTACAATGTGGGGACCCCCGGTTACAAGTTGGTTGATACACCCCATGACTACTGTAGTTATAGGTATCATAAACCACAGTTATTCAAGTTATGTTCACCAACTTAGCTATCATAAATCAGCTATAAATCAAATGAAATCCCCATTTTCCCATGGTTTTCCTATGGTTTTCCACATATATCATTTGGGGGCCGCCTTGTAAGGTTTTAGGGGAACTCATCGACTCATGGGGACGAGTCACCCCATAGAAATAGATTGTTATCCCATGGAAATAACCAGTTATGACTAGCCATGGCCATAACTGTGAATGATTAATGATCATGTTATAATTCATGTTATTAATGGTTCATAGATTGATGATTAATGACTATGTAAGCCTGAATTTCTGAATGGAACTATCAATGGATTGGTTTTCTTGGGAAAATCTTAAGCGGAAACCATGGTTTTTACCATCAAATTGATCGGGGGTTCCGGTTAAAATTTTCCCATCATCCAATTCTATGAAACTACGATTTAAATCAATCTGGATGTGGTCATGTGTGTGTATAACTGACAGAAGTTGGCATTATGTTGTCACTTTTTTGCATCAGGACCAGAAGCAGATTATAAAACAACTAATTTGATGAGAAATGTTAGTCTTCGGAAATCAAACATTGCTTAGATGTGCTTATATCCCAGTGCCAAGTACATTCCATTAGGTCGCCATGTGAATATTATGCTGATTGGTGGTTTGGAACTTTTTTATATTTTTCCGTCTATTGGGAATGTCATCATCCCATCTGACGAACTCCATCATTTTTCAGTGGGGTAGGCTCAACCACCAACCAGTAGATATATCTATAGATGGTAGATATATCTACTGTATACTTATTCTTATATCATTGGTTTAAGGGAAAATCTTAACCGGAAACCATTGATTTTCCCATGAAATATGATGATGCCATTATTTCCATGCAACAATTTCTCTTGGCCATATCAGCTTGTTGATCTCAAAGGTACGCCTCAGAACATGTTCCTACGCTGTGGCTCTGCCGTTCGATAAGCTGGTGCTGCTAACTAGCCTGACTATATGGTCTATGGTCGATAAAGCTTCAGGTGTACCCTCTGGTTATGTCAAAATAGCTATTGAAAATGGCCATTGAAATAGTGGATTTTCCCATGAAAAATGGTGATTTTCCATAGTTATGTTAAATTACCAGAGGGTATGTGTACGAAATGAGAAATCAACACATGATTTGTTCATCCGAGCATCCAGAAAACCAACGTGCGAAAAGCGTCACGTTGCTTAGTCGAAGGTTTGCTCGTGCAAGCCTGATCAGAAGCTCTAGTTCTTTCGGTTTAACGCACGTGAGCAGCTTTCAAAAAGGGTTGACCTTGGTGGAGTAGGTGAGTGGCCCCGTGGTGCTGGGTACAAGTCACCAATTATTGTATATAATACATATACCCTCCAGTAAATTAACATAGACCCTGCCAGATAGTGCCAGATTAATGGTGATTTAATGGTGATTTAATGGTGATTAACCCTCTGGTAATGGAATTAATGTCTGTTTGGTGGTTTGGAACATTTTTTATTTTTCCATATATTGGGAAAAGTAACCCCAACTGACTTTCATATTTTTCAGAGGGGTTGAAACCACCAAACAGTATAGGTTTTTTAGAAACTGAGCCATACTAGTGAAGATGTAATATAGGTCTTATGCCAGATTATAATTCCTTGTGCAATGTAATTATAGGTTATACCAACGATAGGTTATGCCAATGTTATATTGGACATAGCATATCATCTGTTTCTGAAAGTTTTCTAGAGGTGGAACCCAGTTGGTGATCTACAATTCCACTTCCAGGAAATCCAAAGTCTCAAGAGTGTTCCGGTCAATAACTGGTTGGTGGTTTCAAACATGTTTATATTTTCCATATATTGGGAATAGCAACCCCAACTGACTATCATATTTTTCAGAGGGGTTGAAACCACCAACCATATAAACATTGCAGAGGATACTTCCCATGTTCAATCAATATTTTGCATGAAACAGCGAAGTGGAATCAAAAACGATTCAGCAAGATCAGATCGCAAAGGATATGTCCGCTTTGGATCGCTGTTAAAAATTGGTGCTGCTGATCAGTTGAGTCAATGCAGGGTGGCTCTCCGCAAGTTTGAGAGGTTGCACACCTCTGGCAGTGTATCAGTTTCAAGGGTGGCAAGGAGCTGATCATGGTCTCATTTGCGGAACCTTCATCTTTTGCGGAAGATTCGGAAGCCATGAGATTGAAATGATTCAGAATGATTTGTACAAAGCGGGACCCCTGTTTGCGATAGCTAAGTTGGTGAACATCACTTCAATTTCACTATGGTCTATGATACCCCCAAACGATAGCTAAGTTGGTTTATAACTTCAATTTCACTATGGTTTATGATACCTATTAAACTATAAGTTATATCATGGGTTTTTGTTAACCAACATTCACATCACATCGCTGGGGACCCCACATTGTAGTGATCTCCAGAACCAAGATAGAAACATATTTCGATGAACATTGGCTGAGGCTTCTCCACTGGTCCCCAAAAAGATCTGTGGAATTAATTAAGATAGTTATATTAATGTAACTTTGGTTACAATGTGGGACCCCCAAACGATAGCTAAGTTGCCTTGTAAGTGGCTGAATTCTATGGTTTATGATACCTCTAACTATAGTTAATGGGGCTTATAAACCAACTTCTAACTGGGGGGCCCCACATTGTAATGTATATAACTATGAAAGTAACCACATTTCAGTTACTATCTATATCTTAGTGTATCTTAGCAACTAATATATTAATATGTACTAATACATTACATAGTAACCATGGTTACCAAAATTAGTATAATTTGGCTGGAATTAAGATAATCTGAAATCTGATATAATGTATATATATATATATACGCATGTATAATAGTGCAACACCCGCTGAAACCAACCAGGGAATTGTTAATCCGGGGTCACGTGACTGGTCTGTTGAAACTTTTATGAGCCGAGGTCATTCTTGATGGTGAGGTTCCAGTTGTCGTGCTGTAGAAAAAACCTTTCCTTGATGACCGTTTTTCAGAGGTTTCTTCACTGTGGTCTTATCAATGAGACAGGTGTATTTTTCATGGTTCACATGGGTATGGGTCAATACCTATAGATACCATTTTTAGTGGGATGAACATCCATTTACCAGCTATTTTGATGTTCACCAGGGGTACAAGGTTTTGACACACTGCCACATTGGTCCAAAGTGTCAGAAACTGTGACCATGCCCTGACTTCACCCTTTTGCGGTTCGCAAATTCGTCGAGCTCGCGCTGTGCGAACTCCCCGTCTTTTCGTCTTTCACGGGCCGAGCAAAACCGGGTGAGGTCTCACGGGCTGGGGAGCGGCCGCCAACACGTCGCATTTTGTTTTTGGGGAATATGTCCAACGTTTACATGGTTTGGAACATGTTTTTTTGGTGATATGAATAGGGATATTAATGGTGATTTAATGGTGATTAAGCCTCTGGTAATGGAATATGAATGGCTGGTTGGTGGTTTGGAACATTTTTATTTTTTCCATATATTGGGAAAAATCATCCCAACTGACTCATATTTTTCAGAGGGGTAGGTATACCACCAACCAGCAAACATGTTGTAAAATGATCAGGGCGTTACTGGCACATGTGCTAATCATTTGCGATGGGACCTTTTTTTTCGGTGCATCCAACTGGTGTCATCCAAATATTGGAGACATTCAAAGTGTGCTTTAATGCTCTATTCCAACAATTTGAGGCCCTCAAGATAGCTAAGTTGGTTTATAACTCCAATAACTATGGTTTATGGTACTTATAACTGTAGTTACTGGGGCTTATAAATCAACTTATAACTGGGGGGCCTCTATTCCAAGACAGATGATATTCCTTAAGGAAGTGGGTGGAAGCGGCCGAAGGCCGAACTTTTCCAAACGGGGGATATCCCGGGTGTGTTTTGCAATTTCTGAAACTTGGCAATACCCTCTGGTAATTTAACGTAGCTATTGAAAATGACCATTTATAGTGGATTTTCCCATTAAAAAATGTGATTTTCCATAGTTATGTTAGTTTACCAGAGGGTATCTTTGGCCATACAGCTCCCCGATCCACTAATTTTATAGCTTTGACATGGTTTGACATTGGACTCTGGTTCAAAAGTTGACGTCTCTAAGTCTAACCCATAGATTTTAGTCATTGTTTACTGTAGTAGTTAATTCCCAGGTGACCATTTTTGGGAACCCCAAGTTTGGCCCATGCCAACGCACAACTTCTCAAAGAGTTTGAGCCGCTCCAGCCGGGTGCCCGGCTGTGAGACTGCCATGGCAAACCCATGATGTTTCCAAAGTAAAATGCCCGTTTTCCCTCTGGAAATCCCCTGTAGAAATTGTGTTTTTAATGGGAAAACATGATTTATCATCTATAAATGGGGAATTGTCCATTGCCATGTTTAATTACGGTGTTTCTTGAGATGGGGGACCCAAAATAAAAACCATTGGTTTCCCCGCTCAACAGAAGTGATATTTTGGATGGGTTAACGCAGTTCACGCCCCATGTTCAGTCAACCCCAAAAATCGCGCATCGTTGGCGAAAAAAAACCCTCTGGTTATGACTAACATAGCCATGGTATAGATGGCCCATAGAAATAGGTGGTTTACCATTAAAAATGGTGATTTTCCATGGCGAACTGTGAGTCATAACCAGATGGGTTGGCCTGTTGCCCTGATGTCCCAACTGTTCCCAATGTGAAATCTCCATGACTTGGATGGTTTGAAAATTTGCCCAGTTGAACCATCTATTTGTTGTTTAAGTGTCTTCTCCAGGACAAAAAGAAGGACAAGAAGGAGAAACAGAAGGACCGCAGCAGCCCTTTGGATTGGCTGCTTTCAACAGCTGGTAAAGCTTGGTGAAGGCTAAGTTGGCCATAACTGAGCCATTCAACCTACGCCTATGGATTGATCATTTCAGGAGGTTGTACTAGGGCTATTAAGTGGATTATTACATATATTATCACTTTACAGTTATGGCCCGAAATCCCCATGAAAATAGATTGTATAATCCATTGAAACAACCAGTTGTAACTAATAAATGGCCATAAATGTATACTCATAATAGGGAGAACTATGAACCAACCAGTATGGGACAGGATAGGGCTATTGGACAATGGCTCATTGAAACCATTGTCCACAATTGGATTAGATTCAATGATTAGCCTGAGCTCATTGGGAGATGATTATCTCCCCATTTTGGTGAGATCCCCAAATCTAAACAAGATTCAACGAAGTTGTTACGATTGAAATGTAACAGGATATACGGATGCGTTTGAACATTTAATGTACATCCATGAATATGGAAACAACACAATGATAAGCTCCCTTTTTCAATCATGATAACAAAGATATACGATATACGGTACACATCTGCCATGTTTGATCAATGCTGGATATATAATGTGAACCCCCAATCAAGCTCCCTGGGTTGTTTAATTAATAGGTACCATTTTGGTAACAGATTATCATCACACATAATCCAAGGTGGTGCCCCCAAGATAGCTAAGTTGGTGAACATAACTCCAATTTAACTATGGTTTATAGGTGATATATCGAACTAGCTAATGGGGTTTATAAACCAGTTTATAACTAGGGGGGCACTGGGGGGCACCACCTTGTCACAGTTTGGGAGTACGCTCTTGATTTTAAAGTCATGGGGATTCCTGATCATGGTCAAGATTCGGCCTGGTGATAAGTTCCTAGCATTTTTGGTGGTGGATATGCCCAAGCAGACATTTTTTCCCTCTTTTTGTTGGGTGCAATCACCTTTGGGAGGGTTATTACATTGTAGTATCTCCAATTCTGGTGGGTTTCAAAAACCCGCAAAAAAGCATGATTGCAGCCCCTTTATTTTCATGGCTATATATATATGCCAACAAGGTGTGCCCCCTAGTTGTAAGTTACCCAAGTTTTTTTTTTGGGAAAACTCCATGGGTTTCCCCTCGGAACATGATCGACAAATGGTGGGTTTTTCCACATCTATGTTACTTTAACAGGAGGCTGCCCAAAAAACTATGATACCCCTGGTAAGTGGGTATGTCTGAAAATAGGGTATACCCCCAATTATAGCCATTTAGTAGGGATAGTGATCATTAACCATTGGGTGTAGGGGTACACTATTTTCAGACAAACCCAAGTAACATTACTATAGAAAATCACCGTTGTTAATAGGTAAACCATCTATTTCGATTAGGGCCATAATCCATGGCAAACTGTTAGTCAGAGGGTAAGAATTACAACCAGAGCCTGGTTCAACGAATCATCCATGTCAACGAAATGTGGCATCCAAGGACATTCCATTCTGTAATTCATGAGATTCACATAATATTCCCATATTCGTGGGATTTAGATATTTAATATATCTATGGAAATTGGTGGGATTTAGATAATATATCTATAGTTAATTGGGTATGGTTTAATATGGTTTAATATGGTTTGATATGGTTTCATAGGGATTTTCATGGTGATTGATATAGGGATTTTACCAACAATGGGGATATTGATGGGATTTACCCTCTGGTAATGACTAACAGCTTGCTATTGAAAATGGCCCGTTTATAGTTGATTTACCTATTATAGATGGTGATTTTCCATAGTTGTGTTAGTTTACCAGAGGCTACATCTATCCATTTCTGGATAAATCATCATTGTAGTTGGTTAAATGTTCATTCCAGTTGATGAATCCCAGATGCTCCATGTATGGAATATTTACCTACATTTGGGCCTTTTTCGGGGTACATGTAAATGTAGGTAAATATTCCAGCACCATGGGGCCGTCTGGAAATTCATCAACTGAAATGAAGATTTTCCTGTAGATCTGTATTGGACTTGAATAGACCATATTTCTTTGAGTTGGTTAATTCTTCATTTCAGTTGATCAATTGGAATCAAAAAGGATCCTAAAATGGAGGTACGTAAACGTACCACCTTTTGGAGGCCATATTTTGTGGGGATCCCTGAAATTTGCCATCTGGCAAACGAACTAACATCACGAAAATGGAAAATCACCATGTTTTTTTGGGGTAGTCATCAATTATTTCTATGGACCATGGCTTCCAGCTCGCAAGCTGTAAACGTCACTACCAGGCCGGGTAGCCCTGAATTCCATTGGAATCCTGATTGAGTCGATGCCGCCATTCCAGGATTTATTTTCGGCCTTATTGATATGGTAAGTAGGTACCTCGGTGCCTCCAATCAATGGGTTCCTGAAGTGCTAGGTACCCCAATAGCTGGATAGTTGGTAGCCCTATATTGTCTGGTTGGTGGTTTGGAACATTTTTTATTTTCCCATATATAGGGAATAATCATCTCAACTGACTTTCATATTTTTTAGAGGGGTAGGTATACCACCAACCAGCTATAATTATATGATATTAACTGATTATATATCACCAACCAGTTGTGTATCCATGAATCATAGGAAGTCCCATCGAGTTGATGAATTTGCCAGGAGTCTCCGCCCAAAGACTCCATTCCAGGTGCGAAAAGTGTTCTTCTGAGCCCCGAGTTGACGAGTTGAGCCTTTTAAACATGTGGGACTTGGCCAACAAAAACCCATGGATTCTATTTGGAGGTTTCCATAAATGGGGGTACCCCCAAAATCATGGTTTCAAATGGAAAATCCATGACAATCCTATTAAGATGGATGATCATCATATATATATATACACATACATTCTGGGCAAATTGTAACGACCTCACTGTTCTCCCTCACTACAATCATGGTTAGTAAGGGGAAACATCCCCAAGATAGCCGGACTTTTCAGGTTAGTAAATTACTATAATTTACCCAGATATATGGTGACTTACAGTTGATTTACGGAAGTTAAGCTGCAAAAATGGCTATTGAGAGTTGATTCATGATAGGTTTCTGTTTGTGTATAACTAATAGGGGAAATTTAACCTCAAGAAAGGAAATTTCAATCATGTGAAACGAGGACTTAACCAAATAAAATGATGATTCAACCAACAGAAATTGGGATTGATAGTTGAGTCGTGAAAAGTTGGCGGTTCTAGCAACATTTCAAGGGGGGTATGGTTGGTGTATCGACACTTGAATGGGTGAACGTAAAGCCGGCAGCCACAGGGATTTCTGTGGAGTTGAAAGGGCTTCTTGCTTGGATTTCTGGTGGATGGGTTGTTTTTCTGGTGGATGCCTCACTAAAGAATTCGCAATGTTTTTCATCCCACAAAACAGTTTGGCCTTAATAGAATACAAGTATAGGAAATTCCTGAGTTTTCTGAATGACTTGACCAAGTGCATTCAAAAACGAATACCCCAACTGCGAGTTTCTCAGAGCCAAAGTTAGAGTGACATCTTGCTTATGAAGGAGCTTATCCACCAAATACTATACAAGGGTTGGTACACTTCCTAGAATGGGGATTGTACAATGTGGAGCCCCCCAGTTATAAGTTGGTTTATTAACCCCATGAACTGTAGCTATATAGGATGTTATAGGTATCATAAACCATAGTTATGGGAGTTATAAAGCAACTTAGCTATCTAGGGGGGCCTACATTGTACAGGCATGTCCTTAAGATGGTTGCTAGTGATTCCCGCAATAGGTACTGGATGATCGAACAGGACTTGTTTGTCATTCCTTGTCACATGGCCAAGAAGAATTGGCCACCGGGCACCAAAAGTCTAGGTCCGACGGCGACACAGCCAATTCTGCTCAACGCGATCTCATCTTTGGATGTGCGCCCCACACATATATATATATATAATATATATATAATGACATATCCTACTATAACTGTTTAAGTGCTTTATAATTAACAAGCATATTATAATCATTTATATATAATTTATAACCTAGTAACAGATTCAATGTCCCCTTGATTTAAGTTGATGGGTTCTTAGCACACTGTAGCCGGGATGCGGAAGTAGCGTTTTATCTTAGAGAGTGTCAGCAGCAACTGATGTACGTACGCGGCAAAACTGGGAAGACAAACAGAACCAATGCGCATCTTTATGGTTCTGAGAAATCAACAGCATTTAAAATCAATTGCGACGATTTTCGTAATGTCTACATAACTGGTTGGTGGTTTGGAACATGAATTTTATTTTTCCATATGTATATATATATATATATATTGGGAATAATCATCCCAACTTACGAACTCATATTTTCCAGATTGGTAGGTATACCACCAACCAGATAAAGACTTGATATTGAAAACCGACAAATCTTGATGTTTTGAAGCGACAACTCATTGATTGGTACGGTTGGTTTCCTACCATCTTAATTTAATGTTTCAATATCAACTTACATCTCAATATATGTTTTTGATGATTTTACTGTCAAACCATAAATTGTTGGTGGGAATGAAACAGACACATTAGAGAACATGATGTCGTGCTTTGCTAGTGTTTGTGACAGTTGGTGCAACAGTAGTTTTCAATAGTTTTCATATCGAAGTTGTTGTGACAGTTTGGGACGGATCTAAACCATTCAAAACCTAAGAATTGCCATTTTGGAGGAGAAACATCCAGAACTACCAGCTATTTTGGGGTTCACCAACAGTACCTAGTCAACTTTGAACCGGCTTTTGGCGACTTGGGTGTGGTAGTGATGGAACAAAAACTAGTCTCACAATGGTGAAATAGCATAAATCACCCCAATGAGTTTGGACATATTTTTGAGACGGTTTCCATGGAAACCAACATGAGAAGGGCCCAAGTGTTTTAAACCACAGCACCACATCGGAACAAAATCATGTCCAGATGACTTTACAAAACCGTAGGTTCTTTAGTTTCCTCACACTGCCATGCATGTGATACGCAATCAAAAAAAAGTGGGCTGCCTTGCCACAGATGGAAGAGTTCTTCAGGGATCACGGCTGCCCAAGTCGGGTGTGCCGCGCTTGGGGCAGTGGCATCCTTACTACAGCCGTTGTTCGGCATTATTTTTTTGGGTCTCTGCGTGGCCAGCTTTCTTCGTCTCGGAGGACAGTATTGCTTTTGCCACAGATTTCTGCAACACACCCCCTCCAAAGGTGGGGTGCATGGATTTGTTCTGCATTCTGGACACTTCCTCAGACGACTTGGGCCGACACTCCGGACGAAGATGCGACATAATCTGAATGTCTGAGCTCAGGGGCTCGGAAGGGGCCCCTCCAGTTGTGTTTTTTGGTTCACAAACCCATCTAACTACAGTTATATCCACCACATTTCCCAGTTATTGCATGTTATTGAAGTTGGAAACCAACTTATCTATAGTTTGGGAGCCCCACATTGCCCCAGATCTTTCCTTCAAATCCCATCAACAAGAATGAATCCATCTAACAATTATGAATTATCGGACTATAATATAATTCAACCAATTACAACCCCTATGGCTACAATACATAGATGAATTTGATGAAGCCATCAATATCCATCAATATCCAAAGTTTTTACTATAGTTGAAATTCCTACGGTGGATGGAAGAAATCCTGCATCACCTTGGATGGTTACAGGGAAAAAGTACCTATCAACTGGTGCAGGATTTCTTCCATCCACTGTATTGTTGACAGCTAAAGAATTCTTTTCAAACACACCCATATCATATCAGATCCCGCAATTCTCCTTGTGAAGTATTGCCCGATGTCATACCATGTTGAATTACCAATATACCCATTTATGCCATAGTATAAGTTGTGTATCCCACTACCAATCCAATAAAATGTCCACATGGGTCCCGGGTAAGTTTCCCATTATTGGTGATTGAATCGCCATTTTTCACCATAAAATTGAAGTTTTACCACCTCGCGGGATGATACCATCTATAATTATATTGTCATCATGATATTACGGTATGATATAATTAATCATATTCACAAAGAATCACCCCTTCGTACTGTGAGAGCCGTTATTAATCTTAAAAAAAAACAAATAAGCGGTGGGATGATGGGTTGTTGTTGTATACCATTATATAAATAGCTTCTTTCCATTTTAACCACAACAAATATTGGCTAAAATCACCAGGTTTCAACACAAATTTCCGAATGTTAGGCCAATGCTAAAATCCCAGCCAAACCACCATTAGCTGTACTCACCATTTTAAATTAATCCCATATACATCCATCAAATACCATCAAATACCCATAGAGATACCTTTGCAAAAGTATCATACAATGTGGGGCCCCCCAGTGATGTTTGTTGGTTTAGATTCGCCCCAGTAACTAGTTCGTTATAAGTACCATAAACCATAGTTATTGGAGTTATGTGCACCAACTTAGCTATTCAACGGGGGCCTCACATTGTACACCAGCAGAAATTTCCGGACGCCAGGTCCAAGCCCCGAAGCCGTGGCTCTCTTGGAAGGTAAAACGGTTGGAGTTATCCAGAGCCTCGGCAGCTATGGCATTTTTTGGCTCATAGAATTGGATGATGAGAAAATTTACAGGAAAACCCTATATTTGATGGTAAAAACCATGGTTTCCTGTAAATGTTCCCTTAAACCAATCCAGTGATTGGCGATGTTTTGAGAGGATTAGGTTTCCCCTGGATGCAACCCATGGTGCTGGAGATCATCAATCCCAACATTTGCCCAACAAAAAAAAAACAGTCTTGTAGGTAAATATATCAGCACAAAGGGAACATTTTTGGGTTCCAGTAAACGTTTACATTACGATGGAAAATCACATTTTTTTATAGGTAATTCAACTATTGACCAGAGGGTAACCAAACTGAAGTAACTTAGCTGGGTCATGGTAAATTGATAATGGTAAATCTAAATGGGTCATTTTTCAATAGCTAATGTTCCTTTACCAGAGGGCAAGTACCAGGATTTGCATCATTCTAATGATTTCTTGGAAAAAACATGTGTTTCCTGTCAGAAGTTGGACGATAAAAAAGCAGATTGGGTGGTGGTCATCCATTCAGAAGGATGTCATAATTCCATCCTAATAGTAAACACCCCAATTGCATGGTTCCAATGAGAAATTCCTTTCTAAACCATCGTAATTTCGAGGGACGTTTTAATATTAGGGGCAAGGGACTACAATGAAGTAGTGTTCAAAACCCCTGTTGGTTGATGATGGCTTCGGGGATTGTACTACCCAATGTATTGGGGATTATAATAATCCAATAGGGGAACCCTATTCACCAACCAGTATAATGGAATAACGATGCCTAATGAGAAACGGAGAAATGGGATGACAGCGGGATTTGGAACACTGCTCAATATCAATCGGTTAGTAAGGATAAGGATTCCCATTAAAGGTGTGACCATAAACCATGTACAATCTTTTGACTATGGCATATACTGTGGATGGTTGCGAAATCCTGCACCAGTTGGTAACTATTGGGATTCCTATGAATCACTGTACATAGTGGGATTGTAAGTGGGTGTTTAACAATCTACCAACTGGTTCAGGATTTTGCCACCATCCTATGTTGTTTTCAGTTCCTCAGAATTGACGTCGAGGTCTTTTGCGCCAACGAAGAAGCCGACGCCTGAGTATGTCAGTCCTGCACAACAAACCCAGATGCTCCATGTATGGAATATTTACCAACATTTGCCCAAAAACTGACCCAGTTTTGTAGGTAGATATACCAGCACCATGGAGCAACATGGAAACCTTGTGGTGATGCGTCCGTGCGAAAATAACAACGAAAGCTCCTCAGATTCCGTAGATTCTGAGATTTCTTTGGACTTTGCACTCAGTTGGAGGTTTCCATTTGATTTTCGGATGAAATAAACCATCCAGCTCAAAAAATGGAGGTACCATGAGGTACCTTTTTCACCAAAAAAAAAATATGGACACAAAAATCCAGGGATTGCCATGGGCACATCTTTGTCGTTCGACTGGAGGTATGGCTTCATCAAAATTGCCGACTGGACACGAAATCTCTACTTCAAGTCCGAGGAGCCACATCCCTTGGGACTGTTGGGACAGGTGAGTTGTTAAGTTACAGTACTTTTCAGCGAAATATGATGAGTTTATAATGGTTATCATGTTAATATGATACTATAAGGTATACGGTATACTAAGTGCCTCTAGAGTAAACGTTTACATAACGAACTGGAAAATCACAATTTTTCATGGGAAAACTCACTATTTCTATGGCCATGTTCTATGTCGCAAACTGTTAGTTTACCAATGAAATTCTATGGCAATTTTCGTAGAAAAAACATCCAGATCGGCGTATCATTCACAGAATCCATCTCCCGGTGACTCACTTGACCGAAACTGCGGGGTAAAATGAGTTTGACTTTTAGGGATAGAGGGTAATTATCATAGATGAAGATATGGTAGAGAGTAAATAGATGATAGATTATAAGATAGATATATGATATGATATGATATGATAGATTTAGGGTAAAATGATAGATTATGAATGATCAATTGATAGATTGCTAGTTTCGATTTCGACCTGGCTCCAAGATGCTCCTTAAGTTCCAAGTAATCCAAGTCTCCGGCGACAGGATTTGCACGAAAGTGTGGGAGATCTTTTTTCTTTGGAGAACAAGAAGGCATAGCCGTTACGACGTCCCAAGGAGGGCTGGATTTTTATGGATTTTTTTGGATTCTGGTGATTTGTTTTCATCGATTTCGCTGTATTTTTGGAACATTGACTGGGATTTGAGGACAAGGGTGGATTATGATTATGATGGACTATGTAGAGTCCTTTCATATCAGGAAATTGTGGAGTGCTTTGAGTTTTGGGGATTTCCAATCAACCAGACTGGACTTCTTAGTCCATGATCGGCTGATGACTGGGTCAGTTGAACCCATCATCTACCTTGCGACTGATTGTCCCCACGGATTATGGGTGTGTCTGCAATAAAACATGAACATGTTCCAGACTGAAATGACAATTTTTCAGAGGATATCACTGGGAATTCCCCCATCTTCAGATGGAAATCACCATGTTTAATAAACACATCCACTATTTCAATGGCTATTTTCAATGTCGCAAACCGTTAGTCATTACCAGAGGGTAAATCCCATCAATATCCCCATTGCTGGTAAAATCCCATGTCATCAATCACCATGAAAAACCCTATGAAACCATATCAAACCATATTAAACCATACCCAATTAACTATAAATATATTATCTAAATCCCACCAATTTCCATAGATATATTAAATATCTAAATCCCACGAATATGGGAATATCATGGTATCTTTTTCCGGTGAACCAACCTCCTCCCGCCCCGCCTGTGGGATCTCGGAATCTCGGCAGGTGAAATTTCACATTCAGAAATGGTACAGTGGAAACGTTGAGGCCGCGAATGGCTGTGCAGCCACAAATGGCTCGAATGATCTCTACAATGTGGGGCCCCCGTTTACGATAGCCAAGTTGGTGAACATCACTTCAATAACTATGGTTTATGATACCTATAACATCCTATTAACATCTATTAACTATATAGTCAATGGGATTTGTAAGCCAACTTACAACTGGCTGGCCCCACATTGTAATGCAGCTAAGACCCAGCATGATCCGTTGTCCGGATCCACAAAGGGCGTGTTTTTTCTGTTTTTGGGTCCACAAATGCCGTGCCTTTTGTGCCCTTGGGATCCCTTGGGCCCTTCTGATCAGGTTTGCCAGGCGAAAAACATCGAAGTTTGCAACTCAGTGACGCGGAAACGGCTCATCGGTTCCGGACCCGGAAGAGCATGGCGCCCGTTTTGAAAGGCGTTCTGATGGCGTCTCAAACACATTTGTTTGATTGTTTTCATGATCTATGTCCAAAATGGAAGGGTGAAGCTAAAGATAGCTAAAGATAGCTAAAGATAACTAAAGATAGCTAAAGGCTATACTGAAATCCTGCAAGAACACGGGAAACCCTACTAAAAGGTGATGTTTTTTTCGACGGGCATTCCGAAGACGGACTCCAACCAAAAAGAAACACAGTCATGTTTGACGTCTCTTCGGATGACCATCATGAAAAAAAAACATAGATATTTGTAACGAGCTCACGCGACCGAAGCCTGAATCATGGTTACAATGTGGGCCCCCCGGGTTATAAGTTGGTTTATAAACCTCATTAACATGCATTATACTTATAAGATCTTATAAGTATCACAAACCATAGTTACTGAAGTTATAAACCAACTTAACTACAGTAATCCCTTTCACCCTAATATTAACGTCCCCGCCCTCCAAATAGTAAAACCTAGGGGTAGTTTTTATTATTAGGGGGTATATGGGGGGTATTTAATATTCGGGGGAGAAGCTTCCCCCCTAATAATGAATTTAAAACCTTAATTTAAAAACTAAAATTGTCGATTTCAAAATCAATTAAGTTCATTGTGTTTAATCTAATTGAAACATTGCAAAAAAATGGTTTTCGAAGCTTTCCCCTAATTTAAAGTTAAAATCTTATTATAAAATACTAAAAAAAAACGATTTCAATATCAATTCAATTCCCTTTTATAATCTAATCAAAATATTGCCAAAAAAATGATTTCGATGCTTTCCCCTAATATTAATTTTAACACCTTAATAAAACAAACTAAAAATGTTTGATTTCAAAATCAATTAAATTCCACAATCGTATTAAAATATGGTCAATCCAGACAACCTTCGTGACATCATTCTCAGACTGACCCTTATATCTACTATCAGCAGTGACTGGAGCCAACAAGCTCAGGTGCTGCCAGTGCCAGTTGGAGGAACAGGTCCGGGAAATAGATGTTCCGTTATGAAAACCCATCGATTTGTGGTGAGAAATTCACAGGAATCTCATGGGGTTAATGTGGGGCCCTAAAATGTGATGTGAATGTTGGTTAGCAAAAAAAACATGAATACTGTTACTATAATTTATAGGTGTCATAAACCATAGTTATTGAGGTTATAAACCAACTTAGTAAATCTAATTAGGTGGCCCCACATTGTATGATATTATATAGTTGTTGTGGAGAGGTATTGCCCGCCGGTAGTTTAACATAGCTATGGAACGTGGTGAACATTTAAAATGTGTTTTATCCATAGTTATGTTAGACTACCAGAGAGTTGGTAATGTAAGATTGCAGGGAATTTCTATTTCTATGGGTTTCATGGATGAAACGTGCGAAGTTTGCAATGCCATGTCAGATTGATAGAGGCTGGGTTCTAGGTTACCCTCTGGTTATTTAACATAGCCATGGAAAATCACCATGCTATTAATAGGTAAACCATCTATAAATGGGCCATCTATACCATGGCTATGTGACAAATAACCAGAGGGTAGATACCCTCTGGTAAATAAACATAGACCCTGAAAATCACCAATTTTTAATGGAAACTAATCTTCCAAGCCCTATCTGCCAGGGTCTATGTTAATTTACCAGAGGGTAATGTTCTTAGCCATTGTAACCATGGAGATATTGCCCCAGAGATGGAACTGCTCGGGGAAAATTCCGGGGAGCTACGTCCATACAGTCCATACAGGCATTCCAGTTGTTTTTCCTCTACAGTTATGGCCATGGCTATTAGTTATAACTGGTTATTTCAATGGAATTATACTATATTTTCATGGGGTTTTGTTAGTACTTATAACTGGTATTTCGGGCCATAACTGTAGGATACCGTAGGCGTTTTTCATTTCGTGTAAAACAACGACCAATAAATCCAATAAGAAATACAACGTTCTTCTCCACTCATCCAAGTACCCCCATTGTGTTTTCCAGAACGAATACTTCGAATACATGTTACAAGGGTTTTGTTTTGAGGGTAGAAGTAGTATTGGGGGAAAACATGATAATTACGTTTGGGGTAGAATGTTCATAATTAACATAAAATACTTGAATATTTCTTAAACTCATTGATTATATACCATGATCAATTGTAGCTGCGTAAAATGACATCTGTATTCTAACATACTTTAAACATACCCCACTATCTTTTGGTGGAGCAGAGTGTACAGAACCGGCAGTACGAGGAGCACCACATATGCAGGCTATGCCAGAAAGCATGTGCATGAATACTATCTTACAATGTGGGGCCTTCAGTTATGTGAATGTTGGTTTATAAACCCCGTGAATACTATATATATAGTTTAATATCATGAACCATAGTTATTGAAGTTGTGTTCACCACTTAGCGATTTCGTAAACGGGGGCCCCACATCGTACCCTTGTGATAATTTCACTACATGGAACATCGCCGCTTTGAAATAGGTAAAAATTACTTTACTTCGTGTGATCCCCACCATGACATTTATACATGTTCTTACTGGCACATCTTCTGGCATTCTATCTGACATATCTTGTGACATTCTATTTGGCATTCTATCTGGCAAATCTTCTGGCATTCTATCTGGCATATCTTCTGGCATTCTATCTGACATATCTTCTGGCATTCTATCTGGCATATCTTCTGGCATATATTCTGACATATCTTCTGGCATTCTATCTGGCATTCTATCTGGCATTCTATCTGGTATATCTTCTGAAATATCTTCTGGCATATCTATCTGGCATATCTTCTGGCATATTTTCTGGCATTCTACCTGGCAAATCTTCTGGCACTCTATCTGACATTTTATCTTCCTACACGAGGTCCGGAAGGGAACACTGGGCGTGGATGGTCGTGGTTGAGGTCCGGCAGGGAACACTGGGCGCGGATGGTCGTGGTTGATGTCCGGCAGGGAACACTGGGCGTGGATGGTCGTGGTTGAGGTCCGGCAGGGAACACTGGGCGTGGGTGGTCGTGGTTGAGGTCCGGCAGCGAACACTGGGCGTGGATGGTTGTGGTTGAGGTCCGGCAGGGAACACTGGGCGTGGGTGGTCGTGGTTGAGGTCCGGCAGAGAACACTGTGGATCGCGGGTCGCAGTTGAGCAAGGACGACGAGGACGACGAGGAGGACGAGGAGGAGGAGGACGAGGCAGGAGGAGGCGGAGGAGGAGGAGGAGCAGGAGGAGGAGGAGGAGCAGGAGGAGGAGGAGGCAACTGACATAAAATCTAACAACCCTCACCTGGCAGGTGGGGAACAACTACAACTGGGCTGTATGTTCGATAGTGGAAGGGTAATCCATGTGGTGATGGGGATGGTTTCCCATTACCCAATGCCAGAAACCATCCCATTCACAAAAAATGATGTTCACCCGGTGGCCAGTATACTATAATCTGGGTAAATTATAACGACTTCACGTTGCGACTGAAGCCTGGAATTATGGTTAAGAAGATTTAGTACGGGTAACTGTCCGAAAATAGCCTTATTTCATACATATTAACCCAGATAGACGTAGTCATTCATTGTATTTTGGCCGTGACATCCTTGTTGTGTAGATATGTGCACACAGTGCAGATGAATCCTTTTCTCAAAAGACCACTAATAAAGTAACAAGGGCTAAGAAACATCGTTGAAAGGTTGTCATTATATCAACAAATTATCATATATATATACATACATATTATATGTATATAGTGTGTATATATATATGCACTCTATATATATATATACACACACTATATTTAGACTATATACATATATATATATATATACTATATATATACTATATATATACTATATATATACTATATATATACTATATATATACTATCTATATACTATCTATATACTATATATATATACTATATATATACTATATATATACTATATATATATATATATTATATAGTATATATATACATACTATATATATATATATACACTTAGTATATATTATATAGTATATATATATATATACATACTATATATATATATATACACTATATATGTACACTATATATATACATATACTATATATATACTCTATATATAGTATATAAATAGTATATATAGACTACATATATATACAATATACTATATATACAATATATAATATATATACACACTATACATATATATATATATACTATATATATATATATACACTATATATATATACATACCATATATATACAATATATATATATATATACAATTTCTATAATAATGATAATAATAGTAATATAATAATAATTATATATATAATATCCGCGTGTTCAATGGGTTGATTTAAGACAAACATTACAACGAGACCGACCGTTTCTTGTCATCACGTTCACTGTTTCGTGAGGTCAGCCTTCTGGGGCCCGATGCCCAAGAAATATACCGTAGGAAACATGGGAAAACTATAGGACAACTATAGGAAAATGGTGACTTAACCAACAGAAATGGGGATTTCATGTGATTGATTAGGCTGAGTTATGATAGCTAAGTTGGCTCTTAAATCATAGGAAACCTATAGGAAAAAGGTGGAATTCATGGGATTGATGGATATTTATGGCTGATTTAAGATAGCAAGGTTGGGGGCCACATCACTTCAATTTCACTATGGTTGATGATACCTATAATTATAGTATTCATGGGGTGTATAAACCAACTTACAACTGGTGGGGGGCACATTGTAGCTTTGATCAATAGATATACCTTTTGTAAACTAACATAACTATGGAAAATCACATCTGTGGAAAATCACCATTTAAATATTAACTATAAATGGCAATGTTCAATAGTTATGTTAAATTACCAGAGGGTAATGGATATGCATGGATATGGTTGGTGTGAAGTCAGCCGTTGGATGGGGACATTCTGCAGCATGGATATGAATGAAAATGACGTGATCTAACATCATACAATGATAAAACTGAGCAATATTGACCATGTAAGGATATACGCATGTTTTAGTCAGGAAGCGTGACAAAAATTGTCACCCGTTTATGAGATTGATTGGTGTAAGACACAGTTCTGAAAACGTACTATCATCGGTCAGTATGATAAGATAAATACCGCAATATAATGAACTGATGACAAGGTTGGTGATAGGTAGAATAGAGTCATCATCCAGTTGGTAGTCAACCCATGTTTCTCCATGTTTGTTGGCATCATTTTCACCTCCAGCATTGATTAGCTCCTTATTGGGTTTGCTCAAATCACCAGTTTTGTTGGTGAAGTCCCTAAATTGTATGCTTAATCCTGCTGTTTTTTCCCCCATATCCCATAATGTTTGGTGAAATCCAAATGCCACCTTTTGGTACTAGGAACATGTTATGATTTTTTAGTCATACCGTGGATGGTCGCGAAATCCTGCACCAGCTGATAGGAGGTTTATCCCATTATTTATAGGATTTCTTCCAGCCACCGGATTATCCTGCGCTTATAAGGGAGTGGTTCGGAGCTGTGGTTGTATCCAAATCCCCTGGGAGCCAGTAGGAGCTGCGATTTGACCTTCAGGTTAGCCAATATCAATCACTATTACCCTCTGGTAAACTAACATAACTATGGAAAATCACCATTTTTAATGGGAAAATCCACTATAAATGTCAATAGCAAACTGTTAGTTTACCAGAGGGTAACCATCGATAACCATTGATTCATCGTGATATCAATGGCCATTTCAGGAGCCGATTGGATGGAGGTACCATGAGGTACATACCAAATATAATGCCTACTTTTTAGGCCTATGTAAGGGAATATCCCCACAAAATATGGTCATATATGGTACAGTACCTCCATTTTGGGATCCTGATAATGATATATTAACGTTTTAATGCTATGATCATTAATCATCAATCTATGAATCGTTAACAACATGAATTATAACATGATCATCAATCATTCACAGTTATGGCCATGGCTATTAGTTAATTTGCTGGTGATTTTGCTGGTGATTACTAGTGGTTAGTAGTGGTTAATAGTGGCTAATAGTGATTAATGATGGTTATAACTGATTATTTCTATGGGAGAACAAGCAATCTATTTCTATGGGGTGACTTGTTAGGTACTTATAACTGGTATAACTCGAGCCATAACTGTGAGACCACCGAGATAGCAAGTTGGGTTCCTGAGGTCTACCAAGGATGGCATCCAGGTGTTGGCTCGGCAGGAGCCAGCAGCCGGATATCGTTGTTGACACTTTGCAGCGACATTGACAAGAATTTCAAATCAAAGTGCTTAACGTTTCAATAATCAATCTATGAATCATTAAGAACTTAAGCCATGTGTCATCATTTTTTTTCACTTCACTCCCAATGAAAGCATTAGCTATTATTAAGCGGTTTTGACTATTGGTTATCATGAACTAATCTGTTTTAACTATCAGCATATAACTGTTATTTAACTATTATTCAACTATCATTTCATGGCTTAATCATTCACTTATCATCAGTGTTATACATTAATATTAATGATTCATCTCGCTGAAATCCCAGTGATGATTAATCCAGTTAAAATGACTGCTAACTAAATCATAGTCACAACAATGTGGACCCCCCAATCATAAGTTGGTTTATAAAACCCATCAACTATAGTTATTTGTGTATCATAAACATTCATGAACCAGAGCTATTGAAGTGATGTTCACCAACTTAGCTATCAAGAAACAGGGGCCCCACATTGTTTTTATCATGTTAACACCTATTACCTTCGGGCTTAACATGCCATGCTTCTCACCTCTCGAGCGCCAAGGTCCCGACGGTCCCAGCTGTCCCAGCTGTCCCAGCGCCCGCGGCGAAAGCCGCACCAAGTGTCGGAGGTGGGCGATTGTTTCAAGTGGGGCCGCGGCTTCATGGGATGTTTGTTTTTTTTTAAAGTTTGAGCACCACGTTCATCATGTATCATGTCATATTATGTAAGTGTTTCCTTTTGTGCGGGAACAAAGTGTCAGGGTATTCTATGTATGCATAGAGATAGATAGAGCTAGAGATAGTGATAGAGATAGATAGTTAGGTAGACAGATAGTTAGACAAATAGGCAGATAGATAGACAAGATTGACAAGATTGAAGAAGATTGAACAAGAGAAACCGGATCAATGGGACCCATTTGGATGTGTGTTGATTTTTATGCCTCGGATGCACCTTTCACGACCGTTTCGGCTTGCCGCGTTGCCGTTGATGTTGCCAGGCACCAGCAGCGCTGCGGTTCTTGCTGCTCTCAAGGCGGCGAGGGCCGAAGGTGCGGTGCACGGATTTTTGTTGGTGTGAGATGATGCATGTTTTTAAATGGTGATTCAAGCAACAAACATACCCTCTGGTAAACTAACATAACTATGGAAAATCACCATTTTTAATGGGAAAATCTATGGATTGCTATGGCTACAGTTATGGTACTATGTTTGTACTAACAAGTCACCCCATTTATAGATTGTATAATCCCATAGAAATAACCAGTTATAACTAATAAATGGCCATAACTGTATGGTGATTCAAGCAACAAACATACAATGTGGGGCCCTTTTTACGATAGCTAAGTTAGCTTATAACTTCAGTAACTCGATCTGGTTTATGATACCTATATAACTATAGTTCATGGGTTTATATGATGGGGGCGCCACATTTGTAGGGATTAAACCATTGAATATTGGAATATAATTTATAATGGATGGAACTAGGAAAAAATGGTTCATTTGTTGAAGTCAGACGCCTAATCTTTACATCCCCAATTGGTCCACATATATATATATAATATGCATACATATAGATACATGATTATATTTTACTCTTGTGTATTATATTATATTATATTGTATTGTATTTTATTGTATTACATTATATTATATTATGTTATTCTATTTTTGTATTTTATTACATTGTATCTAATTTATGAGAATTGTGATACATACGCATATGTATTTATGTATGTATATATATACAACACCCGGAGCTCTGCCCTAAAGCCTAGCGTAAACCTTGAAACCTAAACCCGTGCTGGAAGTCATTAGAAAATACAATGGCTCATGTTAAAAACGAAGAAATATGTGTTTATATTTGTATAATATACAGATGTGACTATGTATGACCACTTTTTGGATACCCACACCCTCAAGGTTCTCATAGAAAATCGCTCACTTCCAAAGTGCACGCTTTACATTGAAAATGTTGGGAGTCAAGACGTGGAATTGTGGTTAGTTCGAACGGAATGTTGGAGAGACATGCAACAAGAGTGAGGCTTGTTGAGTGGCAGTGAGGGGTATGTGTTTGGTAGACAACTGTCGCAGCTGTTGTGAGGTTGACATAGTTTACATAGAATCCACTTAGTTCATCTCTTGGTGGCTAAGTTCATAGCAACGCTTGTGAAACGTCGTTCAAAATTCCAGTACTTAGGACATGGCTGTGTTGCAACTGTGGACTGGGGATGAGAAACATGAAGCTGGATTCAGCCTGAAGCAGGCAATACGACACATACTCCCAACTCCCAACGATAATTGTCAGAACTAGACAATTCATTCCTGTGACTGTTGATGTTTGGTTAATTACACCACTTGGCCGTTACGGCCGTTTCTGCAATTATTGCGTTTGGCTAATCCAATCCTGCAGGTGTATCGCTGTGAGCTCCTCACTAGCCATACCCTCTGGTAAACAAACAGTTTGCGACATAGCAAATGGCCCAGTCGAAATAGTTGATGACTACCTATTCAAAATGGTGATTTTCCATAGTTATGTTAGTTTAAGAGAGGGTAGCAATCCAAGAATCTGGGCAATTTCATATGCCTCAAAACGGCCTCATTGCGAACTCATTGCCATTGCGGCCAGCTAGCAGATGAACCTTCTGGACACTTCCATGGCACCTCTGCAAGCAGCACAAAAAAGTTGGCATCTGCCGGCCGCTGCGAACCCGCGCAGAGCGCCACATCTTTGCTGATTGACTTGACTTTTGCCGCCGTTAGAGGCGGAGAAACTAGAAAGTCACGAGCCACGACTGCGAAATGATCCACCGATCGTGACCGATTACTTAGGGTTCATGGATGCTCTCCAGAAGATCTGTGAGGAGATTGGCAGTTTATTGAAAATGTACTGCGTTTTTTTAGCGAAAAGTGAGGATTGAATTGATTTGACCATCAAAACATGGCGACTTAGACCAGTGGCGTCCCGGCAGGACTAGGAACCGTCCCATTCCAATCAACAGCTATTTCCTGAGGATAGGATAAATCGAATCGATAAGATAGATTGGATAGATAGACTCAAGAAAATAGATATAATGGATAGATAGATATTAAATCATATAACGTATATATATATATGTCTGGTTGGTGGTTTGGAACATTGGGATTATTTTTCCATATATTGGGAGTTTCAGAATCCCAACTGACAAACTCATATTTGTCAGAGGGGTAGGTATACCACCAACCAGATATATAACTATCATTGAACATCATTAACCACCATTAACCATCATTAACCATCATTGACCATCATTTATAGATGCCATTTATAAACCAACATATATAACGTACATATGTATATATATATATGATATGTATGTGGGATATTTGTCCATTGCCTTTGACCGTTTCAGCTGAGCCTCGTAGCCGCTACCAGGCTCTACTTCTGCTGCGGTTCTTGCTGCGTACATGGCGGCGAAGAGCGAAGCGAAGGGCGAAGGCACGGTGAACCGATAGTTCAATGTGTGACTGGTTGGTGGTTTCAAACATGGCTTTGATTCTCCATAATATATGGGATGTCATCCTTCCCATTGACGAAGTAATATTTTTCAAGATGGCTATTGCACCACCAACCAGGTGAGATGATGCTATTGTTGAGTGGAATGTGTTGATGGGATATCAAGAATCATCACCAAAAATGGTGGTTTAAACCAATAGAAATGGTGACTTAGCCATGAAAATTGAGTGATGAGACCGTGTTTGAATTGAGATTAAAGATTGGATATACCCCGGGAGCATGGGTTAAATACTGTGTGGATTAGTTATATATATATATATATATTTATAACATTCCTTAAAAATGGTTGATTTTTAGTGGTAATGCACCTTTGGGGTATGTGAAAAATATCTATTATATATTGATTTGAAATTAAAACATTAAAAATTGGGATTGAACTGGATCGAACCAGAAAAATTAAGGATTTAACACGAGTGTCGATGAGATTTTGAAGATGTACTGGCATCTGTTGAAATGAAGACTCAGTGAAGACAAGATTTCCTTCCTCCCAAATTCCTTCGTTGAATTCATGCTTTGCAGTGTGTGTTTCACAACTATATTCTAGAGACAGCTGTGATGTATAGAACTATAACCTTAAATGTTCATTTGATTGATGATAACACAGTATAGCTTGCTGTGAACTATGAAATCCAAACCAGTACTGGAAGTCATTGGCAGAAAATACCTTGGTTTATGCTCAAATTCAAGGAAAAACAAATATATATATATAATATACATATATACACATATACACATGTATATATTATTTTGTCTGAATTTGACTATGTGTGTCCCCATTTGTTTGATACCTAGACCCTCAAAGTGCTCATAAAAAAAAAGTCAAATCTATGGAATGTGTTGAGAGTCAAATAATACAATATTGCTTGTTGTTCAAAGGAATTCTGGAGAAACACCCACCAAGAGCGATGATTGTTGAGAGGCAGCGAAGGGTACGTGTTAGCTGCAGTCACTTCACAGCTTTGTTGATGTTGATATATAGTTTTCGTATATTTTACTCCGCTCATGTTTTTGTTTGTGCAAGATGTTTGCAATAGAAATTTGTGTGCGTTGCCATTAAACTCTCTAACGTTTTCATTAGTTTTTAAGAGATATCTTTGAAACCTCGGTTGAAAATTCCAGTACTTAAGACATGGTTGTGTTGGAACTGTGGACTAGGGATGAGAAACATGAAGCTGGATTCAGGGTCAAGCAGGCAACACAAGACATACTCCCAACTCCCAACCATAATTATCAGAATTTTAAAGTTAATTCCTGAGACTGTTGATGGTTGGCTAATTACACGAGTTGGCGTCTTGTCTGACGTTTAGATAACCAATCCTAAATGCAGGTGTATCGCATTCAAATCCAGTTCTGGTGAACTCCCACTTTTGATTGGTCTCATGACCAGATTGTTTGGGAAATCCATATCAGATGCTCCGTGAACTCCTCACTACAGTTATGGCCATTTGTTACTTATAACTGGTTATTTCAATGGGCTTATACAATCTATAAATGGGGTTTTGTTAGTACTTATAACTGGTATTTCGGGCCATAACTGTAGCCATAGCAATCCAAGAATCTGGATATGGTATATGCAACAAAAAACAACGATCTCATTGCGAGATTTCACTGTAGCTGGCGAGTAGGGGAAATCATCCCCAAAAGGCCTTACTCCACAATGTGAGGCCCCCCAGTTATAAGTTGGTTTAGATTCGCCCCAGTAACTAGTTCGTTATAAGTACCATAAACCATTGTTATTGAAGTTATAAACCAACTTAGCTATCTTGGGGGCCTCACATCACATTGCAGGTTCAAGAATTATTCTTGGATACGATAGGATAGAATAGGATGGCATAGGCAGGGTAGGGTAGGATAGATAGGACCGATAGATATTGATAGGACAGATCGGATATATAGATCATTCTGGAGTAGATAGAATTCAGAATGGACTATTGTTTCAAACTAATCACTGACATGCCAATATTTTTTCAAAAGTCAATATATTTAAATTTATCTACTTCAGGATGTTTCCATACATGTGTTCCCCAAAAAAGATGTTCCAGTGTTCCCCAAAAGATAGAAACAATAAAACCTGAAAAATGCAATGTTTTTTTTTGTTTTTTTCCGGTTTGCATTTTTTCCTATCTTCAGTATCGTGCTATATTTTACTGGAAATCATGAATTTTGATGGCTTTTAAGTGTGCCATTCCCTGTAAATTTACAGTCGGTATCAACGATATAAAGTTTGAAGGCTTCAAAATGATGCCCAAGCTGTTTTTCCGTTCGGCATAGATTCTGAGAGCCATTGTTGCACTTGGACTTTTCTATCTTCAGTATTCCCCAGCCACTTGTGGATTGGAATACGTTCTATATAGGATCTCTTATATTTGGTGAAAACCACAGTCAAACTACTAGTCAGCACTGCTGCGCCAGTGGAAATTTGGATACAGCTGGACATTTTACCAACCTATCTTCTTTTCTGCATTGGATCCCCATACTGGGTGATTTCTCCAATATCCCCAAGCTATTTGCTGATTCGGCTTATTTTTTGATTGTGGGATCGAGTTTCTCATTTTGGATTTGTCTATCTTCATTATATCATATTATATCCACCTATCTGTGGATTCTGTTCTTCTCCGAAATTTCTCCCCCATTTTTTCCTGGTCGTTTTGGGGTCGTCACATCCTGAGAAAACTGTTCCATCCTCATTTTCAATGGGTTGTTGTAGGACAAGATTTAACACAAGGTGGTGCCCCAGTTCGTTCGCGAAGTTTGCTTATAACTCCAATTTCACTAAGGGTTTATGGTAGATATATAATTCCAAAAATTATCTAAGGTTTACTGTAGATATACATACATATATAAATTATATAACTCCAAAATTTCACTACGGCTTATATTATAGATATCTATCTATAGTCTCTATGGTTTATAGAGCGACATTCACATCACTGGTGGGCGCCAGCCTGCGTCCGCCGAAGGTGAGCCTTCTGGGTCGGCGGTGAGCCCAAGATGGCGCCATGGGGATGTTCACCGAAAAGATGGTGCCTTCATAAATAGCCACTATAACGGGATTATAGCTGGTTGTTGGTTTGGAACATGAATGGATTATTGTTCCATTCAGTTGGGAATTTCATCATCCCAACTGACGAACTCCATCATTTTTCAGAGGGGTTGAAACCACCAACCAGCACTATAATGGGATTATAGTCATGAATGAAGGGAATATATTGTCGAAAAAAATATATGGGTATCATAGTTTGAATACAATAGTTAGATGGCGATAATCATCAGTTCATAACTACCTGTATATTATATATATATAAGCTATTTGATGGGTCTCTTCAAGGATTATAGTTACTAAATAAGTTATTCATGGAATTATTATGATATTATGTTCATCAATAGGATTATATAATGAGATTAAGTATAGTATGTATGAATGCTATATATATATATACTGATACTACTATTATAGTATATTATAGTATACTACCGTAGTACTACCATTCATACACTAATACTATCTGTATAATTTTATTAATGCAATTATCATGGAAATATCATGGGATTATAGTTACTAACCATGATTAACCCTGAACTATAGGGAGGTTTTTATGGTATTTCATGGTGATAAAATGAGATATACAGCAATCATGGTTGTCTGGGTGTCATGAAATGATCATGAAATGTCCCAATATAGCCTTATTTCAATGGATTGGTTTAAAGGAAAATCTAAACCGGAAACCATTGATTTTCCCGTTAAATATGTTTTTTTTCCTGTCAAAATTTCCCTTAAACCAATCCATTGATTATTTCAGTTCGTGAGTATGATTTACCCAGAATAATGGATATGATCAATAGATATACCTTTGGTAAACTAACATAGCTATGGAAAGTCATATCTGTGGAAAGTCGTAGTTATGTTAAATTACCGGAGGGTAATGGATATGCATGGATATGGCTGGCATGAAGTCAACCATTTAATGGGGACATTCTACAGCATGGATATGAAAATGACATGATCTAACATCATATATACAATGTGAGGCCCCCAAGATAGCTAAGTTGGTTTATAACTCCAATAACTATGGTTTATGGTACTTATAGCTATAGTTACTGGGGCTTATAAACCAACTTATAACTGGGGGCCTCACATTGTAATGAGATAACTGAGCAATATTGATCATGTAAGGAGATACGTATGTTTTAGTCAGGATGATGAGAATCATGGTCACCCCTTTCATGACATTGACTTGTGCAAGACACAATTCCGAAAACGTACTATCAAGGCAAATACACTAATATAATGAGCTGATGACAAGGTTGGTGATAGGTATAGAATTGTTGACCAGCTGATAGTGAACCCATGTTCTTCATTTCTGCATCATTTTTTACATCGTCCAGCGTTGATTACCATCACCAGTTTTGTTGGCGAAGTCCCTAATTTTGTATATCTTACCCTCTGGTAATTTGTTACATAGCTATGGAAAATCCACCCATTTTTAATGGGAAAATCCACTATTTCAATGGCCATTTTCAATAGCTATGTTAAATTACCAGAGGGTATCCTGCGTATTCTTCTGGTATCTCAATATCATCCCATCTTTCTTGGTCGAATCCCACCTTTTGGGCTTCGGAGGGAGCAGAGTTCGGAGCTATGGTTGTTTCCATAGTATATCCCCTACCCATGGCTGTCGAGAATGAGTACGGGCGGGAAAGAAGCAGAACGCCATAATGAAGTGCGAAGAATTTGATGAGAGCCTCAGATTCCCCTACCCTCTCAGTCTGCAACGCGGTTCGAACACCATTCCAAATTGGAAAGGAGGCCATTCTTGACCACTATTAAGCATCATTAACCAAGACTAATCATTCATTGATATCCATGTCTCATGCTTAAAAAACATAAATTTTCCGCCGGAAATTCCTGCGTTTGATTCAACCGCCGTGAAACCACGTCGGACATGTTTTCCAAGCCACCGCGCGCTTCTGCCGGAGCCCAGGCTTCGGCACCGGAGGCGGTGAGTGTGCCAAGTCAAGGTGGGAAGAGAACAGTTTTATGATGTTGACAATTGATATGTGATGAAATGTGTATATATATATTACAATACAAATCATATGCCATGATATATATATACACATATTATACAATATAAATCATATACCATGATACATATATATATATTAATTATACAATATACATCATATACCATGATATATATATATATATACAACATGAAATTCTTGTTGTTACCAATCCCGGATCCAAACACTGTCTGAGAAGATACGGCTAACCCCCCAAATCAACCCCCAAACACGTTCTAAGAAGGTACTTGGATCCCATGAAACCACACGTTGCACTGGCAACTTTGATTGTCAGATTCTCTGGTTGGTGGCTTGGAACGGTTTTTATTTTCCATTTATTGGGAATAATAATCCCAACTGACTAATATTTTTCAGAGTGGTTGAAACCACCAACCAGAATATATAACATATGCAAATCATATGTAGATACAGATGTAACGATAAATAGACAAGATTCAGACGGCGTCGATAGGACAGATAATATCCAGGTATTAGATGCTTGTCTAAGTAATATAGATTTATACATATATATATTATATATGTATAACATTTTTTTTTATAATATAATATATATATATATATATAATATGTATATATATATATGGGGGCTTCTTAAAATGGAGGAGTCCCCAAGTCACCATAGGTTTCAATAATTACAATGGTCATTCATGATTTGGAAACATCCATATCAGAAGCCATGAACATCAGGTCAGGTCATCAGGTAAACTGCTGAGGCTGAACAGGCTCATTTCTCCCCAATTCAATCAGCATTTGTTGGAATTGGGTGCACACGTGGCAAGCGCAGCATTCGTCTTGATCGACGAGTTCGCAGTGGACAGTGACATGAAGCGATTCTCCTGCCCGTCCATGTTGCTGCGGTTGGGTTCGTCAGGGACACTGCCCACGTGGGTGCTCCACCAGGACGCGGTGGAAACACCAACATTTATGCTTGACATGTCTCACCTTCAGATGGGATACTTCTTCAATCAAACTGCCAATAAAAAATCATTGGGCCTAAATACCATTGAAATACCATTGAACAGTGAAATACCATTGAACTACCATTTTCCTATACTTTTCCTATTCTTTTCGCATGCATTTCTTGTTTCTTTCCATCGTTGCCTTCCACGGATGCAACGTAAAAACGCCTGGCCCCGCCCCAGGCAGCGCTGCAGCAAGTCTGGCACGCAAGGCCAGGTCCGAAGGTGCGGCCACGTGTTGACCAGGTCGCGTTCCCATGGTGCAGTTATGGCCATTTGCTAGTTTTAATGATTAATAATCTATAATAGGGATATTAATGATGATTTAAAAGGGATACAACTAACAACCATAGGGATATGTTCATCTTGTTGACCATCATATTTGCTAGAAATAGGGATATTAATGGTGATTTAATGGTGATTTAATGGTGATTTAATGGTGATTAACACTCTGGTAATGGAATATGAATGGCTGGTTGGTGGTTTGGAACCATGGAATTTTACTTGTCCATCTATTGGGAATACTCATCCCAACTGACTAATATGTTTCAGAGGGGTTGAAACCACCAACCAGTGGCCATTTGTTATTTATAACGGGTTAGTTCAATTGGAAACCATTGGTTTTCCACATCTATGTTAGTTACCCTACAGTTATGGCCATGGCTATTAATTATAACTGGTTATGTTTTTGGGATAAACACATTCTTTAAATGGTGTTATTTCAGTACAAACATAACTGGTAAAGTAATAGCTTGTTATTAATGCTGATTAATTATAGTGATTTCCATGGCTGTTAGTTGATTTGCTGGTGATTAATGGTGATCACTAGTGGTTAGTAATGGTTAATTCCATACATGGGGTTATTTCAGTACTTATAACTGGTATTTCGGGCCATAACTGTGGGTTGTCAATAACTGCAGTAAATTATGGTGCATCATAAAACAAGGTGAAGTTGCTGCAAAGAATTTCAGTAACTATGGTTTATGAATGTCATGACTTATGATACGAAAATACTTGTAGTATTCATGGGGGTTATAAACCAACAAACAAAACTGGGGGGGCCCCACAATGTAGTTTTGTGTGAGATGATGCCAGTGGAAAAATGCGGATATGTTGATGCCAATGGGAACTCCACGGCCACTACTAGTGATTGGGGGGAGCTAACGATTACGGGGGAGTGTTTAAGCATCAAACATAGGGATTTCGTGTTGCAACTGTGGACTGGGGATGAGAGTTGCATCAAGCTTGATTCAGGGTCAAGGAGGAAATCCGAGACATACTCCCACGCATAAGCAGCAAAATGATAAATTTCATTCCTGTGACTGTTGACATTTAGTGAATTACACCACTTTGTGTTTTGTTTTACTCGTTTCTGCAGATGACGTTTGGTTGTTCCAGTCTTAAATGCAGGTGTATTGGGTTTTAATGCGGTTCATGTTGCTGAGTTTTTCTCGCTGGTTAGTTTCATGATCAGGTTCTTGGGGAAATCAATATCAGATGCTCTGTGAACTCCTACCGTTTGAGCTATAGCCATCCAATAATCGGGATAGGTCATAAGTTTGAATGATCTCATTCACTGTAAATGCCGGCGAGTAGGGAGAATCATCCCCAAAGGTCTGAGAATTTCATGGTGGCCGGCCAAAGGGAAGATTGCTGGCCTGATTTCAAGTTGAGATTTATTCTTGGATATGATAGAAGAGCAGCATAGGGATTACATCGAAAGGGCCGATATCAGAATTATTGGATATTCTTGGCTATCATTAATCATGATTAGCCCATAATTATTAACCGTATATACTAACCACATATATATATATATACATATTAACCATATGCATTGCATTTGTTTTTCAATAGCAGATGAGCATCCGGTCAAGCCGAGTGCACCGGCCATTGGCAAGAACAGCAAGGGGGAGTTCTGCACTGCGCGGCTCAAGGAGTACCCGGACAAGTTCTGTGCTGCCCTTGCTCGCGCCTTTGCTGATCAAGTGAGAGCCTCTGTTCACAAGGGACAGATTGTCCGTAGAGCCTCTTGGGACCAACTCCTGCCTGTCAGTCTGAGCGGCATCATCTATTCAAAGGTGACGAACAGACTGCAACTTTACTGACCTGATTGAGTCAGTTTCCGACTTGCTCCGCAACTATCCTTTAAAGACATGAGCTCAAGTGAAGGGAAGCAGCAGATCGCACTCACCAAAAAGGAGTTGCTTGGTCACTTGTCGGAGATCAATGCCAAGAAGAAGGAGCTGAGTCGTGTTGAAGCCGCAAAGGCGGTAGCTATCATGAAGACGGAGTCAAACGTGTTCCAGAGAGCTGCATTCGTGGCGTTCCAGAACCCTTTTACTGCACTCTTCCTGGTCATGGTCCTGCCTCTCATCATAGAGGCTGCTGAAGCTGGTAGGTATATCAATACCGAGGCCAGTAGACTCCCAGATTACCAGCCGAGGTAGCATTTTTTCATTTGGCTAATTAGAGAATTAGAGATATGCAAGTAGCAGCAAGGTTGACAAACCTTTCGAGCTCGCAAATCGCAAATCGCTTGAACCCTATGTGATTTATATATATATACATACACATACATTTCGAATAGTAGGATGCCTTCTGTACCAACGGCTGTCCCAGCTGTGAGGCTTTACTTCTCCAGAAGCTCTTGCTGCGTTCATGGCAAAGTCCGAAGGTGAGGGGTTCACCGATCGTTTAATCAGGATTAAACTCATGAATAATGGGTTGAAACATAGGGATTTAACATGTTTTTAACATGGTTTATTTAGGAACAATGCGGATTCAACATGATTCAACTAAGACAGGTATGGAGAGGTATATACATATATATATATATATACATGTTGATGGGATATAAAGAACCAGTGGGATTATACCTAGCGATATTGGGGATACACTAGGATGAAGATTCAATGGTGCCATTTGATGTCATGTCAGTGGGATATGTTGATGGGATATCAAGAACCATCACAAAAAAAATGTGATTTTAACCGACAGAAATGGTGACTTAGCCATGAAATTGAGTGATGATGCCACTTTTGAATGGAGATATTTCAGCATCAAAAATAGGTTTTAAACCAATAAATCATGGATTGAACTAGGACAAAAATGGAATTTAACATGATAATCAGAATCCTTCAAATTCATATGTTTAATGTTTAAGTTTAAATCCCCAATTGTCCTACGCATACTTTAAGTCCTATATAGCCTATATATTATATACAATTGACCAATTGATGGTATGTTTTGATTAAAATCAATTTGAGTGATGAGATAGACACTAATGGACATTGCACGAGTTCCGATGAGATTCTGGAGATGTACTGGGATATATTGGGATGAAAACTCAATGAAGACAAGATGTCCGCCCACAATGCTTCGTTGAATTCATGTTTTTTCAGCGCGTGTTTCACAACTACATTATAGACACGGTTGTGATGCATAGAAATATCACCCCAAGCGTTCACTTGATTGATGAACAAAAACAGTACAGCTTGCTGTGAACTATGAAATTTACACCCGTACTGGAAGTCATGGGCAGAAAATACCGTGGTTCATGTTCAAATCTAAGAAATATGTGTAATTATTATATATTGTTTTACATGAATATATGTATATGTACATGTATAATATGTATATACGAATTTGATTATTTGTGTCTACTTGTTGGATGCCTAGACCCTCAAAGCTCACAGGAAATGAGTGGATACGATAGGAATAGGAGCAAGACGGCATAGGCAGGGTAGGATAGGATAGGATCGATGGGATCGATCAGTCTGCAGTAGATCGAATAAACGATGACTTTTCAAAGATAGTTTTACCGAGAAAAAACACAAACATTATTGATCTACTTCAGAAAAGACATGTTTAGATTTGATTAATAAACAAAACCACCTCATCACCAAAAATGCAAATGTCTTTGAAAAGTCATGTTTTTGTTCATCTACTTCAAGCTGATTATACATAAGTGTTTTAACATGTTTAGATTTGACTGATATTCCATGTTTAGCCCATTGGTATTTTTTTTTTATTCTATTGTGATCCTTTTTTTTATCGGGTTATACTATCCAATTATAAAAATAACAAACAATGGGATATTATATTGGATAGTTATATTTCATTTTAATTTTATATCTCCTTTTGGGGTTATATAGACAATAGATATATATATATATTATTTATTATCTTATATGTAAATATACTATATCATATCATATCATATTATATTATATTATATTATATTATAGTCACATATCGGATATCATTTTACTACATATATAATTGTATATTTGTATGTATTTCATTCTATAGTCGTACATCATGTTTTACAGACTACAACTCTACTGTGTTATACATACTTGCATGTTAAATCACATTACCCATATGCTCCATGTATGGAATATTTACCAACATTTGCCCTAAAAATCACCAAGTTTTGTAGGCAAATATACTATACATGGAGCATATGGGTTAGATAACATTTTGCCTGGTGCCTTGGGGGCGCAGCTCCACTACCAGCGGCGTTTAGCGAACAACCGCTGCCAGGCAAGACTTCCGCAGCGGCTGACGTTCTCAGCGCGTCGGCTTCCGCAGCCGAAGCGTCGAAGTCGGCCGAAGGTGCGGTGGTGTTATTCAAATGGCACGGCATGATGGAGACTTCATGGTATTTTAATCATTGATTTTAATGATGTTTTTGAATTTTGATCACTAAAATACCATCGATTTCAATACCACTTGATGTTCAATACATGGATTTTATTCACTAAAAAATGATTTCAACAAATGGCAAATGATGGTTTTTCATGGTTTTTCATGGGATTAATGTGGATTAATCATCATCGAATAATGGACTCATGATTTGTCCCTTTACCTATGGCGGTAAACCTCCCAGTCATTCAGTTCATGGGAATGGGTCAACATGTTAAGACTCTGGGGACCAGAGGTAGACTACCCAGCCTGGTAAACTAACAGTTTGCTATTGAAAATGGCACCATTTATAGTTGGATTTACCCATGAAAAAACGGTGATTTTCCATAGTTATGTAAACGTTTACCAGAGGGTAGTCTATTTTCAATATTAACACCTGGCTGCACCCCTCCAGTCCAAGGACATCAAGAAGTGCATGGTTGTTGCACTCTCCCATCGCCTTTCTGAAGCATCTCCTGAGAAGAAGCGATGTGGAACACAGCTGGCTAACCTGGCTGACCTGACCATGGTTGGTCACATGGCATTGGCACAATTGGCACACAGCACTTTGAATGGCACAGCGGCAGGTGCCAATGAAAGTCTGTTGGAGGTACCGCCTTGGGGTTCCATCTCAGAACTCAAGGGTCAGACGTAGCCAATTTTGAGGAAGCGGACGGTGACAGAAAGCCTTGCACAAAGTCAAAGCCCTCAATTTCAGAATTGGGGTAGCCAATTTTGACTCATAATTACCCATGTACTGGGATTGAACATGATTTCCATCAGGATCTTTCAGATTCAGATTCGTACTGTTTAAATCACCACATGTTTCACGAATGTGAGCTAAGGAACTATGGGTATCCGGTATCCATATGGATTACTGAGTGGGTAGCTAAGACACTAAGACTTTTCCAACCACAAAAAAAGTACAACCAGTTGATATTTTATCTGGTGATGGGGATATGATATACTTGGATATACTGGGATGAAGACGACTGATGATGCCATGTTTAAATATGTTTAATGGAATGTTTTTTTTGGGATACAAAAATGGTTGTTTCACCAACAAAAAACGATGTTTGAGCACTCAAATAACATGTTTTTATGCGGATTTAAGCATCATACATAGGGATTAAATTAATGAATAGTGGCTAGGGATTGATCTAACATGATTTAATTAGGGAAACTGAGGCTTCAACATGATTCAACTAGGAAAGTGATGGGGATAGTTGATGGGATATACAACCAATGGGTGTGGCACAAAATGTATGTAGGTTTACTGCAAAAACAGGAGTCATAGTGTGTGTGTATAGATTTGTTAGTTTTTCCGTGCAACCCCAAGTTGTTTGACCAGCACAGTGATGGACGTTGATGGACGTTTGCCTTTTTCATGAGACATGATTCATCAACATTTTCAGATGTTCTCAGTTTATTCATTTCGTCAACGTCAATGAGGGCAGCCTTGTAGGCTTATATCTCATGACACCCATTGGTAAACTAACATAGCTATGGAACATAGCTAAAATGAAATTCAACTATAAATTTGATAAATGGTCATGTTCAATAGCTATGTTAGATTACCAGAGGGTATCCCATATGTTGTTGGTTGTATCATGTTGTATCCCTTTTCGAAGCCATCTCCCAGCGACTCAATGGCAGGCTCGAAACGCAAAATGATGGAGGAAGAGGACGTGCAGGCGCCGACGCGAGATGGGCCTATGTCATAGAATTGGATGATGGAAACAAACATACAGGAAACCCCTTTCGTTCAGGGGTTGGTAAATGTCCTAATTGAACATCACACAAATATTGGGGATATAATTTCCAACAGGTACTTGAAGGTAATGTTCAAAATCCCCAAAATGGGAAATTTACAAAATCCTTTAGTTGATGGTCAAAACCATGGCGTTTTCCTGTAGATTTTCCCAAGTGTTTACCAATCCATTGGCATCCATTGACTATGACTTTTGATATGGAATACTTGGATACATGCTTGGTGGTTCATGCCACTTACAAAGTGGATTATCACCCTAGTTATAAGATGTTATAAGTGGATTAACCCTACTTATCCATCTTATCCCACTTATAACCAGGGATAAAACCTGCTTACTAAGTGGGATGAACCACCAAGTATGGTTTTGTTTCCAAAACCACAATAGATAAACTTGATGGTCACCAGAAGGGGAGTAAAATCTACCCACTTTGGGAGCAGCTTTCGGCTGATGTTAGCCCGGGACTTTGCTCCACCACTGGGAATGTTAGTAGCAGTTTTCATGCCTGTTTAACGTGGTTACCCCTGACGTTATGGCCATTTATTAGTTATAACTTATAACTTGTTATTTCTATGGGATTATACCATCTATAAATGGGGTTTTGTTGGTACTTATAACTGGTATTTCGGGCCATAACTGTGACGTTTTTGCTCAACCAGGGTTTGCTGTAATATCTGTAATCGGGGAGTGACGCGATAAATCCTTGCCAATCTGTAGCATCCCAAAGTGTGGAGAATACGTGGTTCAGTACTTGGATTTTCTGTGCCCGAGAAATATATGTTGAGTAATGATGCACATATAATATAATCTGATCAAACTGAGGATCTAACCGGAGATGGGTTGCAACAAATTGTAGCCCAAAACGCCGAGATTATCATGAGTGTCCTTGTCGCCTTGTCTATTTCATGGCCGCA